ACACACTCTCAGGACCCTGATCTGCCAACCCACCCCCCTCACCCTTATTGTTGATATTTTCTAGAATTCTACTTCTGGGTTATTATGAATAGTCTGCCCTTTGGTGTTTCTTATAAGCACACTCTCTGTCTTTTAAGATAATAAGGAATTTTACCAAGGTATTTGATCACCCATAATTCCCATAATTCTTGCAGCATCTCCGGAATTTGTTTCCTCCAAAAGTTATTCAACATGGGTCTAATGGTGAATCTAATTTTGATGTTGAATCTAATTAAATCTGGCATGCCAGGTAGTTTTTATAATGTTTTGAAGTAGCAGAGTAGTAAATTTATAATGTTACTTGAATGCATATAGAATTTTAGGTTTAAGGTTCATTCCTTCATTAAGGAAAGAACATCACTGCCTTGTCTTCTTATAGCCAGTATTGCTGCTGGAAAAAGTCTGATGTTAGTTTGGGTCTTGCTCTTGGTAGGTAGTTTTCTCTGAAAGTTAGTAGAGTGTTTTCTTTGTATCTGATTTTCTTAAATTTGACTATAATATGTCTAAAATAGGCTTTTCTTCATCTGTCCTGTTGACATTCAGTGCAATTTTTCTTTCAGTACTAAGCCATTTGTTTTAAATTTGGGAAAAATTTTCTCCATTATTTCTTCAGATATTTCCTTCTCTCCATTTTAATTTTTTTCCTGGGACTTCTATTATCTGGATATTGGCCCTTCTACTTATAGCCTCCACAGTTCTTAAATTGTGTTTTGATTTCTTACTGTCTTCTTTTTCCCGGGAGAGCCCTTTAATCTTTCTTCTAACTCACCAATTTCTCCTTCTGTGTCCATGTGACTATTTATCTTATATCTTGTGTTCTGTATTTCACAATTATTTTTACATACTATTTCTCCTTGTTCTTTTTCTACATGAAAATTTTTGTTTCATATTGTTAATATCCTTTTTTATTTCTTTTACTGTATTTATCATGTTTGTCTTACATTCCATCTTTTAATTTTAAATCTGGTCTGTCAGTTTTAATAATTTTTCTGCTATTGGTATATATTTCACAGGTTTTGTTTTGTTTTTTGACGGAGACAGGAGGGCATTAGTTGTACTTCTTAAGTATCTCCTTAGTTTTTAACTGGTAAGATGGTTCCCCTGGGGATGTTAGCTATTCTGTATGGCATTGCTTAATGGAAAAGGTTTAAGGCCAGATCTTAGTCTTTGATGGGCCCAGGGAGCTCGAGATCCCAGAATATCTGGGGCCGGCCCGGTGGCGTAGTGGTTAAGTACGCGCGCTCCACTTTGGCGGCCCGCGGGTTTGCAGGTTTGGATCCCGGGCGCGCACCAACGCACCGCTTGTCAAGCCATGCTGTGGCGGTGTCCCATATAAAGTAGAGGAAGATAGGTACGGATGTTAGCCCAGGGCCAATCTTCCTCAGCAAAAAGTGGAGGATTGGCATCGGATGTTAGCTCAGGGCTGATCTTCCTCACAAAAAAAAAAAAGATCCGAGAATATCAATTATTCACTCATGTTTGTAGTCTCCCCACCAAATGACAAGCCTTGCCAGATAAGACTGTACAGGCTGTAACTTTACAACTCCAGGAGATACTCTTCATTTAGATTATGATGAGAATGGTACCTCCTGGGGTTATATAACATGGCAGGACTGCAGGTTTTCACCTTCAAACCCTCAGGGAGAAGCTGATTTGGAAGGAGACAGTCAACCTTGATTTTAATCCACCAGTCCTGGGGCTTTGGAGGGGAAAGTTGAGAAATGAGTGCCTGAGGCTGCTCAGCCCCACCTGTTCTCTTCAGCTCCTCTTCCAGCAGAGTGTTGGCAGCTTCCCTGAGTTTTCTTCCAGTGGATTCCTGAGCTAGTTCTCTGGGGCCGATGCCACCGATTTCTTCGGTAAGGGGACAAGTAATGATTGTTCTGAGGGTGACAGTGGGTGACAGCAAGAATAGAGCTTGAACTGCCTTGCCTTCCTTGAACTGCTACATCCTCTGCCAGTGGCCTTCAACCCCAGGCTCCAAACCCCCTCCCCCATACGAGTTCAGAGTCCATGTTCCAATGAGTTCCTCAAGATTTTCTTATTTTAAGGTTTCTGGATCCGTGTTTCTCGCGGGTTGATTTGGCAGAGGGAGCCAACAACTACTGGTAATTTTCCATGTTGGCAAACCCCCAGAGGGAAGCTCTTGTCTTTCCTTTTAGAACAACAACTTTTATTTTTAAACTTTCATTTTCTTATTACAAAAGTAATACATGCTTGTTTCAGATAAGCACAAAGGATATCACCACTGCCCAGTTGTAACCACTGTCAGCATTTTGGCTTGGTGACCTGCCTGTCTTTTTCCTTTGCATCTAGTTTTTGACTACTGTTTGTAACCTGCCCTTTCGACTTAATATAACATGTGTAGTTCCCAACATCCTGGCATTTTACAGAGTCGTTTTTTGTTGCATAATATTCTATCATCCAGAGAAAGCATAATTTAGCCAGCTTTTAATTGTTGGCTATCTAGATGATTTCTCTTCCTTTTTTTATGTGTTGCTCTCTAATAAACATCTTGTAGATTAATATTGTTCGCATCCATGATTATTTCCTTAGGTTAAATTCTTAGAAGTCAAATTTCAGGTCAAAGGCTTTATAAAGTTCCATATACAGGCAGCCCTGCATATCCGTGGGTTCTGTATGTGCAAATTCAACCAACTTCAGATTAAAAGGCCTATGATGGTTGCATCTGTGCTGAACATGTACAAACTTTTTTTTCTTGTCATTATTCCCTAAACAATACAGTATAACTCTTTACTATTTATATTTACATTGTATTAGGTATTATACGTAATCTAGGGATTATTTCAAGTATAGGGGAGATGTGCATAGGTTATATGCAAATACTACGCCATTTTATATAAGGGACTTGAGCATCTTAAGATTGCTTTAGCTATTTGGGATCTTTTGTCTTTCCATACAAATTTTAGGATTATTCTATTTCTGTGAAAAATGCTATTGGAATTTTGATAGGGATTGTATTGAATCTGTAGATTACTTTGAATAGTATGGACATTGTAAGAATATTCTTGAATCCATGAGCACAGAAATCTTTCCTTTATTTGTGTCTTCTTCAGTTTCTTTCATCAATGTGTTATAGTTTTCAATGTACAAGTCTTTCACCTGCTTGGTTAAATTGATTCCTAGGTATTTTATTCTTTTTGACACAATTGTAAATGGGATTATTTTCTTACTTTCTCTTTCTGATGGTTTGTTATTATCATATATAAATGCAACAGATTTTTGTATATTGATTTTATATCCAACAACTTTACTGAATTGATCAGTTCTAACAGTTTTTTGGTGGAGTCTTTAGGGTTTTCTCTATACAATATGTCATCTGCAAATAGTGACAGTTTGATTTATTCCTTTCCAATTTGGATTCCTTTTATTTCTAGTGTTATTGCTCTGGCAAAAATTTACAATACTATGTTGAATAAAAGTGGGGAGAGTGGGCATCCTTGTGTTGTTCCCGATCTTAGAGGCAAGGCTTTCAGCTTTTCACCATTGAGTATGATGTTAGCTGTGGGCTTGTCATATATGGTTTTTATTATGTTGAGGAACATTCCTTCTATGCCCGCTTTGTTGAGAGTTTTTATCATGAATGAATGTTGAATTTTGTTAAATGCTTTTTCTATGTATATTGAGATGATCATGATTTTTATCCTTTATGTTTTGTTAATGTGGTATATCACATTGATTTTGTGGGTGTTGAACCATCCTTGTATCCCTGGAATAAATCGCACTTCATCAGAGTGTATGATCTTTTTAATGTATTGTTGAATTGGGCTTGCTAATATTTTGTTGATGATTTTTGCATCTATGTTCATCTCTGTTCATTTAAAAGAATTATCTTCTGTTATCTCCGTCACTTCTCCTTCCTCTTTCATTCCTCTATTTGTGGAATATATCTTTCTTTCTCAGAATTTTCCTTAATTGTTGGCTGATTCTTGGCTAAGAAGCCTAAGGCTTCTTGGCCTGGCTGTCAATGCTATTTCTCTTTATGCTGGTTGCCCCTGAGGTTGTGGAGGAGGGGTATGAGGTCCTGCTGGGCTGCAGGGCTCCCATGTCTCCTGAGTGTCAGCAGCTACTCTGGGCTGCCTCATCCTTAGGCTAGTTTAAGTGCTATCGCCTAGGAAAAGCTGCTGCCTTCTCCCTGCTCATAGAAATAGGAGGGAGGCCAACTCACCCAGCTTTTCTGAATACAATTCCCCAGACAGGCAACCTCCTTGGCATAACCAAGGACCCTTCTACTCCTTGTCTATGTGACTGCCAAGCTTGGTGCATGCTAGTTACCCTCCCACTTTGTACAGAACCTTCTCCTGTGTGCGCTTTGGGCTGTGGTCTCTTCAATCCATCTGATCCTCATCTGCTTGCTGTCTTTCAGTATTTCTCTACCTTTCAGGGCCATTGAAGACATTCTTTCTTATCTTCCAATGCTATTGTGGATTCTTTATCCTTCTGTTATTTCTGGGGATTTTTGGTGGAGTAGAAGAGTCAATTTAATATTTAATTCAAACACTTTTTGTTTCTATTATACAGAGTATCAGGACCCATGGGTTGGTTATTAAGAGCAGAGTCCTGGAGTCACGTACACATGGATTTGAATCTCAGCTGTTCCTCTTACTAGCTGTGTGAATTTAAGCACTTTTCTTAATCTCTCTGAGCCTCCCTTTCCTTTTCTATCAAATGGGGATAATCACTGTTGTGAGGCTTCAATGAGCTGAGGCACACAAAGCCCTCAGCAGAACCTCTAGCAGAGTGACCACTCAGTGTTTAATCTTTTGGTTATTTTTATCGTTGTTTTTATTCTTATGTTTCTTACTAAGGTAAGCCTGATTAATAGAGGTCTGCAGAGAGCCCCCTTTCCATCCATCTCATTTGGACTCAGAATCTCCTTCCAGCTCTTCTCCCAGCTTCACCAAGAACAAGCAGGATGACGCCCCCTCCTGTTCTCTCTGTAGCCCAGCTCCACCAGCTGGAAGGACTGAGGACCATCGGCGTCACCACCAATGGCATCAACCTAGCCCGGCTGCTCCCTCGGCTTCAGAAAGCTGGTCTCAGTGCCATCAACATCAGCCTGGACACGCTGGTGCCAGCCAAGTTTGAGTTCATCGTCCGCAGGAAAGGTGATTGGATGTGGCACACAGTAGAGGGTGTCCTTCTTAGGTCCCACGTAGCTGGAGAGCATGTGACTGGTGCTAGGCGAGGGGCCTGGTCCCTCCCTCTTGGTGTCTGGGCTATGGACAAGCCTAGGCATTTATTCCTCACCCTTCACCCTTGCCAAATGTCCCTCATCACTGTAGCCACACCCTTGGGGACTTTTTGGGATCAGATGCTAAGAGCTAGGGTGACCAAACCCCTCTACCCTGCATCCAGTTTGCCCAGGACTGAGAGGGTTTCCAGAACACAGGCCTTTCAGTTTTAAAACCAAGACAGTACCTGGCAAACTGAGATGAGTTGGTTACCTTATAATGAGTCTGAGGAAATGTGGGGAGCCCAGGGTGGAAGCAGCTAGCCTGAGATGCCAGGGTCAGGGCCAGCACTGCCAGGTGGGGCCCCCCTGTGCCCCGAGTGGTGCTCCTTGTCCATCCTGGATATGAGCCTCTTTCACCCACTGCAGCAAGCACACCCACGGCCTGCTCCCACTGAGCTTCATCAGGAAGGGCGGAGGTGGGGAGATAGAGCAGCCTGAGCCCCAGCTCTCATTAGACCAATGCCCCGCCCCCAGATGTCTCGGGCCATGGGCCTTGCATGGGCACAGACATTCTCATCCCAGCGTGTGACTCCCTGTTTACACCCATCCATGTGCTGAGGAAGCACTCATGGAGTCCTTGCCCTCTGTAAAGGGCTGCTCCAGGTGCTGGGGAAGGGACAGAGAGACACAGGACATTGCCCTGCCTTACAGGCTACTAAGGGCCAAGAGGTGTGATGCCACTGGACCACCTTTGCTTGTCTTGTGGTGTCGATCAAAGCGCTACAGAGGGAAAGAGAGAACTCCTAGCAGGGGAGGACCAGGAGGGCTTCAAGGAGGAAGCATATATAGTGGGCCTTGAAGAACCAGGTTGAGGGGATTGGGATCAAGGGAACTTACTCTGAGGGGGAATGTCAGTGGAGACCCTGCGAGGGCTCTGAGGTAGGAAAGTGGAAGGTGTGTTTGCGGGCGTTACCGCCCCCCCACACACAAATCCGCATAGCCCCTGGCTCCTTGTCTCCCTTCCTGGAGTGAGGATTGGAGACAGTTTATCCTAACGTCAGATCTGCCTTCCCATTCACACTCCTGTGTCCACTGCCTCCTTTTGGAGGGAGTGATTTACAGAGGAGAAAATTCTAGATCATCCTAACAGCATTTGTCCAAAGCTAGACTTTCCTCCCTTTGCCCTCCCTCACTGGGCCATCCAAAAATGCTGCCAGGAAATCACGGAGGCCATCACTGGGCCACCCTCCCTCAGGGTGACATCCCAGCTGTGGATCACCCGTGATCACCAGTCTGTGTGGGCTGGGGGGAGGGGCCGGCACGCAGTAGGCGCTCAAATGTTTGGATGCACAGTGAGCTGAGAGTGAGCTGGGGGTGAGGAGAAGCCACCGTGGGGTCACGTTTACTGTACGTTAACCGCAGAGTTAGGTGAGAACCACACGCATAGTAATCGCTCATCAGCCCCGGCCAAGAAGCTGCATGTAGTAGGAGCTCGATGAGAATATGTCGAGTGGATGGACGGACGGAGCGTTGAGGAGCAGACCCTGACAAGGGGGTCGGGAAACCTGCGTTCTGAAGGGTGGAGGGTGAGGCCTTTAGCAGGGCGCTGCCTTTCTCTGGGCCTCAGTTTCCCCATCTAGACTGTGAGAGGTTCACCTGGATCGGGGTCGGCAAACTACAGCCCGCCAGCCAAATCCGGCCCCTGCCTGTTATTTTTACAGCTGTGAGCCAAGAGTGGATTTTGCAGATAGCATTTTGCAATCAGTTCAATGATAGGGAACATTAACTATGAACTCCAATTAAGCAAAGTACTAACCCTGCAAAAAGAATTCCATTCTTCCCTTCTCTTTGTAGAGCTATGTTACCAAAAATTATGCTTAATTACTATCATATTCTGAATGTAGTCATTAAAATCTTTATGACCTATGCATAATATCCTTAATTTTGCCTCTTGGCCTGCCAAGCCTAAAATACTTACTATCTGGTCCCTGGACCCAGTGGTCTCCAAGGCTCCTCCTAGCTCTGATGCTTTCCTATGGGTGTGAGGGGCAGGGGAGAGGGAGGAAGTGCTTGGAACCTTCTTTCTCTCCCTCCCCACAGGTTTCCACAAGGTCATGGAGGGCATCCACAAGGCCATCGAGCTGGGCTACAACCCTGTGAAGGTGATGACGTGCTGCTGCTGCTGACCCTGACTCCCTCCCCCTCCACCTTGGCTTAGCCTTCCACTGCCAGCTCCTGGTGCCATGATAGCTCCCAGCCCTGGCCAGTGCAGCCGCAGGGCACCCCTCACCCCTTCCTTGCCTGCTGCATCCAGCCCCACCCCCACCCCCCACAAGGGAGGAAAGAAAATCAGTGACCCCGTGGAAGCCCCCAAAGGAAGGAGAATTAGGGAGAGACAAAAAGAATGGGACCCCCAGTGGAGAGCCTAGGCAGGTGTCAGACCCCTGGAGGTCATCCCTGCAAAGAATGGAGGGGACAGCCCTTGTGGCCCTTGTTCCCTGGCCAGGTGAACTGTGTGGTGATGCGAGGCCTGAACGAGGACGAGCTCTTGAACTTTGTGGCCTTGACCGAGGGCCTCCCCCTGGACGTGCGCTTCATAGAGTACATGCCCTTTGATGGTCAGTGACGGAGTGGGGGAGAGGGGAGGATGCGGGGCCTGTCTGCAGAGCTGGACCAGGGCCACGCTGAGAGCATGGCCGGGGGCTGCTGAGGACCCTGAGAAGGGCTGAAGGGGGCGGGCAAGGGCTGGCTCACCCTGTGGGTGGGGAGGGGCCTGGGCAGGCACCAGGCCAGGGCTGTGATGGGGCCTCGGCGGCGTCTCAGGATCCAGTGTGGGTGTGATTTGATCCCCCCGTTTAGGTAGGGCCTCCTGACTTCCCCTCTGAGAGGCAGGGGAACTGATCCTGGGCCGTGCGGGAGGATGGACTTGAAGACCCTGGGCCCCGGCAGCTCTGTGACTCAGTAGCTCCCATCCCAACACAGGCAACAAGTGGAACTTCAGGAAGATGGTCAGCTACAAGGAGATGCTGGACACCCTCCGGCAGCAGTGGCCGGAGCTGGAGCAGCTGCCGGAGGAAGAATCCAGCACAGCCAAGGTTGGGGGCAGGAGGGTGGGGCCGGGAGGAAGGTCGGGTCTCCACCCTAGGACCCTAGGACGGGAGAGCTGGCGGGGGCTGCCTTGAGATCAGAATGCAGCTATGCAGGACGGCACCGGTTAAGCAGGAAGCATTACGGCGCCGTCACAACAGCCTCCCTGCTTCCTGGGTGAGGGAGCAGGGTCAGCGTGGGGCGGGGGTTGAGTAACTTGTAGGACGCACTCCAGTAAGTGCTGGAGGGGGCGCTCGGCCTGCGCTCCCCGGTGGCCTTCTCTGGACGTGCTGCCCTCAGGTCCCGGTATCCTTAGCAGGTTTCCTCTCGGGCAGGCCAGGTGCAGGCCGAGAGCTCAGGCGTCATCCGTCCTACTGGAGTCTTCTGTTGTCTGAGGGCCTTGGGTCCTGCCCTCCGCAGGCCTCCTCGGGAGAGGATGTCGGAGCGAGAGCCGGGGCTCAGCCGCATCCCCATCCCCTCCACTGTCCTTCTTCCCCCACCCTCAGGCCTTTAAAATCCCTGGCTTCCGAGGCCAGGTCAGCTTCATCACGTCCATGTCTGAGCATTTCTGTGGGACCTGCAACCGGCTGCGAATCACAGCTGACGGCAACCTCAAGGTGACTGTCCCCTTCCCCCAGGGCCCCCTTGCCACCTCTGTGTTCTGAATATCTCTTCCCACCTGCACCCCCTGATTGGAGGGGAGACCAGTGGGGCATATAGGGTGGATGGTGAAATAGTGTCAGATTTGGAGGGATCATGGGAGCAGCAGGTGAAGGTGAACTCATGGTCCCCATGGAACTGTCACCCTGATTCCTTCCTTCCTTGGGTCCCTGAAGTGGCTTCCGGTTGATTGGAAGCTACTTTCCAGCACTTGGTGCTACCAGAGGGGAGGGGTGGGGTGCAGGATCAATGTGCACTTGCCCCGCCCCCACCCTGCTTGGCCCTGTCCACCAGGCCAGGGGCTCTGCTCTGAAACCAGCATCCGTTACTCATATCTAATCAGCACGCACTGTGCGTTCAGGCCTGTGGGGGATGTGAGGGAGGCGTAGACATGCCTGTTTCCTGTGGGGGCGTGAAGGCTCATGGTAAGACCAGACAAAGAGCTAATGCATGTCAGTGCCTGACTCTTTGTCAAATGAGTGGCTGGACAGGCCGTAGGGTGGTGGACCTTGAGGGAGCGCATTGTGGACCTTGGTGAGCCTTGAGGATGGGTAAAGGAGGAGAAGAGCAGGGGAGGATGCATATCTGGGGTTCATGTTATTTGGCTAGGGCAGATTAAAGTCAGATATGGGAGACCCCATTGTAGAGGGCTTGAATGCCCAGATAGAGGGTGCAGAGTGTGTTCTGTGGACAGTAGGGCGCTGTGCAAATTTTCTGGACAAGGGGGAGACGGGTCCCCCATTAATGTTTTAGGAAGAACCCATAGGTTGAATTTGGAAATAGGAAGACCGATTAGATCGCCATTTAGAGATGTTCCAAACACGTGAGAGTATGAGGTGAGGGTGGGAAGGAGGGATGAAGGCACGTGGTAACACAGGTGGGGGCCGGAGAAAGGCATCCAGGTGGCTGGTTGGCTTTTGGGCTGTTTAGGATTGGGGGAGGGGGGATGGTGGGTTGGGTTTAGATACATCAAGTTTGACATCCAAAAGGAACTGTTTAGCAGTTGTAAAAACTAAGGGGTTTTTCTGGGCTGGAGATGTAAAACTGACCTAGACAATGGGTGGTATCCGTGTCAGTCAGGGCCCATGCGGGAAACCGAGGGTGGGATGTTGAAGAGAGTGTAATGAAAAGGCTATGTATAGTGCAGGGTTAAGGGACCTGTAAGGGGTGTTGAGGCACTCAATGAGCAGCAGCAAACAGCTGTTCCCACCCCTGGGGGAGGGGAGGGCTGTCACTGGGGCCCAGTGAGAGCTGGAGCCTGGTGGAGTGATCACCTGGTTGGTGCTGGAGTCGTGGAGGGAAGCAGCCACTGCTGGAGACATCAGAGCAGGGAGGAAGCAGGGGGGAAATGCCCAACCTTCCTTTCTTCTCACCCTCTGATCTGCCATCAGCCAAGCCCAAGCAGAAGCTAGCTGGAGGGGAGCCCAGAAGGTGGCATCCACTGGGGCCCTCCTGGTTGCAGAGAAGGGCAGAGAGTGGAACCTGGGGCCTGGTAGGGGAGCGAGGAATGGGCACTAACCAGCACGGTGAAGTAGGTATACCTTCTGCTTAGATTTCCTCTCTAGTGGTCTCTGCCGTCACGGGCTTCTCGAACATTCTTCTGTCTCTGTGTCCACAGTGCCTTGTACAGAGCTGGCACATAGTAGGTGCTTTATAAGGTTTTCTGGGAGGATGTTTTCTGGGACTGCCTCACCCGTCCCTGAGCCTCCGGAGCACCAGCCTCTCACAGAGGCTGGGCAGCACTGAGTCAAGTTTGAGTGAGCTCAGGATGCCATCCCCACCAGCCTCTGCTGTCCCACCACCCGTCAGGGATCACACACTGGAGTAGGTGCAGGGCAGGCAGATAATGTCCGTGAGTGAAGGCACCAGCAGGGCACTGAGCTGAAGTGGAATGTGCATGCCACGTCTGGAGGGGACTGTCAGGACTCGGCTCTAACTGGTTGGGCTCCATTCTCAAGGCAATAAAGAGGCCATTCGATGGAATGTCTCAGGAGAAGGTATGGATCTGGATCTTTATGTGCTGTCTCTATTGGCAACTATTAAATTTTGTAAAGTACGCTCTACCAGCTGAAGGAAACATGGCCATGAGTCACAGACGGGCCTTGGGATGTCTCATTCTGGTTACTGCCCTTCCAGCCTCTCTGACTCCTCCATCCAGCACCTTCTGCTTCTCATTGCTGGAAGCCCTGCCTTGAGTATGACCCAGCATGGGAGGCCTGGGTGCTGGTGCTCGGCCCATGGGGGACTGTAGGGATGGGGGGGCCAAGGCTCAGGGACCCAGGAGGCATGTCGTCCTCACCCCCACAGTGACCCCCTGCAGGTCTGCCTCTTTGGGAACTCGGAAGTCTCTCTACGGGATCACCTGCGGGCCGGGGCCTCTGAAGAGGAGCTGCTGAGAATCATCGGGGCTGCCGTGGGCAGGAAGAAGCGGCAGCATGCAGGTGAGGGGCAGGAGTGGGGAAGGCCAGGCTGGGTGGTGGGTGGGCCATTGTCAGGAGGGAGGGCCATAGTTATGGGGTGAGAGGACAAAGGAAAGCCTGGCGTGGAGACAGCGGGACTAGTGTTGTCCTTGCTCCCAGTCCCTCCGCTTGGACCTCTAGACTGGGATGCGGTGATGGTTCTCCTTCCCAGGGGAAGTTGGCATAGCCAAGACTGCACAGGAGAGGGGACCCCGGATTCTCTTGGGCTGTTCTATTGGGTCAAGGGAAGAGGGGTGTCACTGCCTCTGTCTCATCCCACACCTTGCCTTCTGTCAGGGAGGGCAGGGTCCTGGGTGTCCACAAACTGTTCTGGGCTCTGTCATGGGCCCAGGACCTTGCAGGGTACAGGGGGCTCTTTGTGTGGGTGCACGTGAGTGCATGTCCCTGGATGTGCACTTTGTCCATCGTTGGTTTCAGTGAACTCTCCTCTCCCTCCCTATCTTTCCCTCACCCCAGGCATGTTCAGTATTTCCCAGATGAAGAACCGGCCCATGATCCTCATCGGTGGGTGATCCATCAGTACGTAACCACTCACCCTTGTCATTGGCGTTCCCATGGGGTGGGGCCCCTGCCATAAGGCACCCCCAGATCCTGCGTTTCATCCTGATGTTCTCATCCTTACTTCTCTTCTGTACCTCCTTCATCTTTTCTTACCCTTTCAAGCCTTTACTGGTCCTGCTCTTCCCCATCCACGGCTCCCCCTCACTGTACATGCCACAGAAATCATCCGTCTCACCAGAAATCGGGACAGGAAGTCCTCCAGATTTATGATCACTAAGTTAGTTGTTCCCGAGACTGGAGCTCCTTGTTAAGACAGAGAGCTTGTCCTCAGCTCTAGAACCTGCCAGCTTGGATACAATCACAGGCGTCCCTTTTCCTCTGTAGTGTGAGCTAGTCCATGCGTGTCTCTGGATCATTAGCACCTGTAACGTGTTGTTCCGCTTCTGTGCCAGGCAGAGCTTGAGGCAGCAAGCTAAGAATCTTACTCATCCTTTCAGGTAGGAGACAGCGAGGACCTCAACTTTCTAATTCCTTAACTCCTGGGAGCTTATGTGCACAGGACATCTCTCATGTGCATTGGATGTGTCAACGAAAAACACCTTTTTAATAAAGCCATATGTGGTCTCGACCCTTGGGAACTGGGCTGGTCCATGAGGTTTAGGAATGCTGTTACCCCTCTGGCACAATGCCCAGACTACAATAGGTGACGCTTCGCCCCCCGCCCTAGCCGCAGCCAGATCTGGGCCTCTGAATTGTACCGCTAGACAAGAGAAAGCAGTGAGGAAAACTAAGGGAAGGGATTCTTGTCTCCAGAGGTTGGAGCTGAGTGAGCCCAGTGGGCTAGAGGAGAACAGGCTGGAGTGGGCCAGAGACAGCCCAAGGACCACCCTTGCGTACCAGCCACCCACAGAAGGAAAGGCAGCTCCCCAAAGCACTCCACTGGGAAGAAAACTTGATCATCTCTTGTCTCCTCCCACCTCCAGCATCAGAGTCCTCTTGTTGGGCCTTGGTCCATGCTGACAAACCTTGATGGCAAGGAGTGGGGGATGTCTTGATGGCCCCCCTAGAAGGGAGGTTGTGCCTCTGACATTGACAAGGTAGGGGGCACAGGGCATGATGGAAAGCTGCAAGTTGGGAGACCTATTTACTTCATAAGGAATATTATTACTCTGGAGGATATAGAGTAACTAAAGTAGTTGGGTTTCTATAAAACCAAGAGTCGCCTAGAACAGGGCTCTCAGACTTCCGTGTGCGTATGAATCACTAGGGGATCTTGTTATTTCAGATCTGGATTCGGGAGGTCTGGAGTGGGATTCTGCATCTCTAACAGTTCTCAGACGGTACTAGCACTGCTGGTCCCTGGACCACCGTTTGAGTAACAAGAGCCTGCAAGGTTCCCAAGGCCCTCGGGACCATTTCAATCAGTCTGTCACTTTGTGTGCATTCTCATATGCTTGAGGGGCTTGAAAGACATTGTTTCAATAGATTAAATAGTTCCTTTAGTATACTGTCTATAAACTACATGATTACTATTAACTCTTCACAGAGAATATGAAGATGGAAGTAATTGGTAATTCAGGCTGAACCTCACTATAGTTTTAAGAAACGAAGGGCCATGGAGAGGTCATCTTATCCAGGCTTCAGTCTTCAGACCTTAGGCCTTTCTTAAGAGAACTTTGGTAACAAGAAAGTTTTTGTGAAGAGGGGAGCCCAGGAGTACCCCCACAGCACCACTGCAGGACAGTTGGAAACTGGTGTCACACCTGGTGGGAAGGGCTGCAAACCTGTATTCTGGGGACTCTCTATGTGTCTTCTGTTTTCTCTCTTCTCGCTATGCTTTTTGCTCCTCATTCCTCTTTCCCCAGTGTGAGAGAGAGAGCTGGAGGTCTGGTAGGGAAAGGGTTGGGGGAAGAGGTGGGAGAAACACTTACTGTTTCGACTTAGTCTTTTTTCTCTTTCCTTCCAGAGTTATTTTTGATGCGCCAAGATTCCCCGCCAGCCCTTCTGAGCTTTTCTTCCTGGGACCCTCTCCGTGTTCAGGGTCTGAGACACAGAATGAGTTTCTCCAACCAGGTGGCAACTTTGTGGAAAGGATGCTGGGTCCCCCAGACCCCTCCCCTTGCCCAGTGGTGGCTGGGGTCTGGCTCCCCTCAGAGACACTACAGTTCCCACCTAGACTCAGATACCAACCCAAAGTGCCTTAGCCCGGTGTCCCCGGCTCCTGCTGCCCACTCAGGACCCCTGCCAACCTCGGACCAGCTAACCCACGTGGACACTGAAGGACGGGCAGCTATGGTGGATGTGGGCCAGAAGCCAGACACAGAGCGGGTGGCTGTGGCCTCAGCCGTGGTCCTCCTGGGGCCCGTGGCCTTCAAGCTCGTCCAAGAAAACCAGCTAAAGAAGGGAGATGCCTTGGTGGTAGCCCAGCTGGCTGGTATCCAGGCGGCCAAGCTGACCAGCCAGCTGATTCCTCTGTGCCACCATGTGGCCCTGAGCCACATCCAGGTGCGGCTGGAGCTGGACAGCACGCGCCATGCCGTGGTGATCCAGGCGTCTTGCCGGGCTTGGGGCCCCACTGGGGTGGAGATGGAGGCCCTGACCTCAGCTGCTGTGGCTGCCCTCACCCTGTATGACATGTGCAAGGCCGTCAGCAGGGACATCGTGTTGGGGGAGATCAAGCTCATTAGCAAGACTGGGGGTCAGCGGGGGGACTTCCATCGGACTTAGAGCTCCTGCCCCGCTCTCGCCCATGGCCCAGCTGGATCACGCGATGGGATCCAATTTGGGCCAACTGACAGATGTCAAGTTCCTTTAACTCCGTCACTGTTTACCTTCACCAGTAGGAACCCAAGGTCGGCCCACTGCCTACTGCTGGATGAGCTATAAACCTGTGGGGTTCCCTTTATTCAGAGAGGAAACAGCGGGCCCTCAGCCTTCCTGGACACGAAGGTCACAGGAGGGGGTCACAGCAAGCAATGCTAGATAACCAAAAGGCCACATCGTGTTATCTGTGGACTATTTCAGACAACACGTTTCAGATGATCCAGCCCATAACTTCCACTTCTCATGGTGGGTTTTCTCTTCTCCTACTTCCCTGGGGAGAGAATAAGGGCTCATTAAGCAGAGGAACCCACTTTGAGGAGGGACAAGCACAGCTTGCATTAGAACGTGTCACGACTTCTCCTTGGCAGCCTTGCCTCCCCAAGTCTGGAGCCACAGCCCGCCTCGCTGTCCCGCTCCACCATCCCTCCTTTGAAAGAGCCAGTTACCCGCTCCTTTCGCCTGAGCCCACGTCCCACTGAACTTGCAGGCTCTCGCTTAACAATTGCCCCATACTGCCGGCTCCCTCCTCTCAAACAGGACATACACTTGGGCCGCAGCCCTGAGGATGCCTGACCAACCACACATCCCACACCTGGCCCCGTGCACTGCCGTCCCATCCACTACCCACACCCCTTTATTCTAGAACATATCAGGGAAAAAAGAGTTGAAGGTTGCCTTCACCCTCACAGCACACAAATAAAGCCACGATGTCAACTTTGGAGATGCAAGAGTGAGGTCTGTGTCTGTGCAGAGGGCACCGAGGGGCACGATTTCACGCCCACCCCAACCCCGTCCCAAGGCCCACTCCCCTGGGCGAAGGAGCCAGAGAGACGCATGTTCTCCGTCTTCCCTGTGGGAGAAGGTAGGAGTGGAGTGGGAGGCACCATCTACAGTAAAACTGCCCTGTGGGGGTGTCCGAAGCTCATCGACCTTGTCAGAGATCAGGAGGGTGCAGTTAGAGGCTCCTGTATGCACATCCTCAAACACTGGACTCGTTCGCTGGGTTCTCTAGTGTGGATAGGCTGCTTTGGGTCTATCCTCAGTTCACCCCCCACCCCCTGTTCCCCGGCTGCCTCCCCTCTGCCCTACACCCAGGTATGCTGGCAACTGTTGAACAACCAGCTCTTGGGAAAAGAAAAAGCCAAATTCCATGGCCAATTTCAAGCTACCATACAACATGAACTGGCTTGCAAAATTCTTAAAAATGTAACAGCTGGCGCCCTCAGAGCTGGTACAAGCTGGCTCCAGCACACCATGGGCTGTGCCTGCTCCCCAGCCCACCTCAATCCCCTCGTGGGAAGAAGGCACACGTTTCAAGGCAGGCTGGATGGGGATGGTATGGATTTAATATTTTTTAGTGTTACAATATATTCTTATAAAAAAAAGGTGCAGGTAAAAAGGACACTGCAGATTTTGTACATTAGCCTCCTTTGTGGTCTGAGACAGCTGGTGAGAGCAGCCTTGGCATGAAGGTGTCCCTGGTAGAGGTGAGGGGAGATGGTCACGGCTCCCCCGTGGGTGGAAATCGGATGAGGAGAGTCTGGACCAGACCATTCCCCATCTGGAGAACTTTCTCCTCCCACTGCCCTAAACACATCTTAGTTCCATCACAGGGGAGGAGTGGGCGCTGCTGCTGAGAAGGGGACAGGTGACATAGTTAACTGAAGCTTACATTGGACACAAAATTAGACAGCTGGAGAAATTTACCCAAAGGTGGCAGGAGGGGTGAGAAGGGCACTGGGAAAAACCAAGGAACAAATATAATAGGCGTAAACATTTAGCATATCAAGGACCAACTCAGCCGTTGCTGAGTCAGCCTTGATGGTCCATGGTCCAAGGCACTGTTGGAGATCTGGCTACAATGACATCTGGTGCCAGAGCAACTGGCCAGATCTAGAAAATAATAAATAGAAATGGAAGAATCTTTGGGGGTGAGGAGGCTGAGCCCTGGAACAATGTATGTGTCCTCTGTAAACAGTTAAACCAAACTACTTTTCTGCGGATCCAACGTGTCTTGAACAGCTTCTGTATGCTTTCTTTCCTGGTGCGGATCCAGTCTTCCATGGTGGACGGGAAGGCCAGGATTTGGACATGCCTGTTGGGTAGAAGTGAAGCCCTCCCCTGTTCCCTGTCCCCCTGGGTTAGGTTGACCTCAGCCCAGCCAGTTTGGGAGAGGACCTTCAGAGACCCCACCCACAACCTTTCCATCATCGGGGGCTCTCGGGTGTTGAGATGGGCATAACGAAGCTCTCTGCAGCTGCTCTTCCTGGAAGCCTTCATCTTGCCCTCACCTGGACTCCAGGATGGCCTCTTCACACCTGTCCTGGCCAGGCCTACATTTGCTCAGATCCCTCCCCCTCGAACCAACACACGTGCTGGGCTCACCAACCCTGTGTTTCTTCCCCTGCCGCTACTATGGTTCCACCCCTAGGAATCTGATGCAGGAAAAAGAGGCAGCTGAAGAGTAGGCCCAGCCTGCCAGTCTGTCCACTGGCAATAACCCTGAGCTGGAGGAGTAGGTTGGAAGGTGAGAAGCATAAAGGGAAGGGCAGGAGGATAGAAGGGCAAGGAGAAAGGTTGAGGCCGGTCTCACAGACACAGAGGATGGAAGGTCAACTCTGGGGGAGGAAAGGTTTTGAAAATAAGCCTTGACAGAGTTGACCTCACCTCCCTTCTTTTAGAAGACAGAAAACTTTGTTTAGAGACAGCCATTGCCCCACCCCCCAAAGACAGCTCAAGATGGACAGAATGGAATGAACAGGAGGACCAGAATGGGCCCCTTGGAAGTCAGGTGGGAGAACCAAATCTGGTACCAGAGATGAGGGGGTGGAGCCCGCCTCCAGCCTTCTGCCCTTGGCTCCTTCAGGCAGTGCATTCCCCAGTTTCCCCTGCCTGCACTGTCCCCCAGTCTGAATGCCTCAGAGGAGGAGACACCCTCAGAGATGGCATGTAAATGCAGAGGGCAGCTCTGGCCCTTGGGACCCTCTCAGGACCTGATGCCCCAGGGCCAGCTTCAGCCAGATACAGATAGTTTGAAGTGGTCTCCTGCAGGCTGGACAGAGTAGGAGGTCAACTGTGGCTTCTGCTCTGAGGCAGATATTAGAGAAAGAGTTTGGGGTCTGTGTAACATTAAATGGTAGACCAAGAAGCTACAGGGTGGAGCTAGGCATTCAAGTGCTGCCCTCTGGTGAGGGGCTATTGGGAACTCCTAGGCAACATGTGAGGTCACTGTCTCACTTCAAGACAATGGTCTGGCTCTACAAGGGAGGTGGGGAGAGTTTTGTTCCAGGGTCCCTATGCCCAAGGCACAAGGTGTGATGAGTGGGGGTTTTTCTTGAACTCCTTCCCTTACCAGATTCATCAAGTACCTGGATAGTGAGCCATAGTCGTGGGAACCCAAAGGTGAGTTTTCTGGGATTCTAGATTAGTAGATAGGATGGAGGTGGCAGTAGGAAAGAAAGGGAGAGAGACTTAGGACATGCAAAACTGAGGGGCCATAGGACTTGTGATGAAGGAAATGGGCACTGCTACTCTGTCCTGATGACTTGGTCCCTGCATCATCCTCCCAGCATTTGTTTTTGTTTTTCTGGAACATTCCTAGCTAGAATATATAATGCCTCTTCCTTCTCCATCCAAGAGGAAAATTCACCCCCAGATCAATGTTCCATGAAGCCGCCTCTTGAGGGATGGGAGCCTGGATTCTCACCCTGGCTGTCAGGGCGCCCACCCCACTGTTACTCCCAGTGCACATGAAATCTGGACAAGGTCGGTGGACCAGTCCAGTCTAGATCTGGAAAGTTCTGTGCCAACGTGGGTGCCCATGCTTGGGGACAGGGAGCAGGGCTCCTTCAGCTGGGCTGGCCAAGGATGTCCAAGTCAGCCTCAGAGTGACCCCTAGGGGCCAGGATACAGAAAGAACAACGGGAAGAGGAAGGGAGAGGAGCTCCTTCAGGTAAGTGTGGGGAGACCTGGTCCTGCCACACACAGCTCCCACCCCAGGGCCCTGAACCGAGCACCGAGTTGTTTAAGCATTATGGTCTCCTCCACTCAGCACCTCTCTGTCCATCCCTGTCTCCCCGCCTCCTGCTGTGGCCAGGCCCCAGGTCAATGATTCAACCTGTTGATTGCCCGCTCCCGGGTGACCTCCGGGGCCTGGCTCCCCGATCGCTTGCGACTGCGCTTCAGCTTGCATAAGTCCTTGTCAAAAACCTCTCCTGAGCGCAGGGCCGACACCAGGTCGTCGAACTCGCCTCCCTCCTCGAGCGCGCTGCCCGCGTGGACCTTCCGCTGCCGCTGCCACCGCTCCCGCTCCCTCTGCTCCTTCAGCTGGAGGGGTGAGGAGGGAGGGAGAGGCTGGCACCAGAAAAGGGCGGAGGCCAGAGCAGCCACCCACAGTCGGACTTACAAACCACGCCCTCCCCACCAGGGGCAGACTCCTAGGCTGTGCGCCTTGATGCTCGTGTTTACCAACTGGCCCCCCTTTCCTCCTTCCCAGGATGCCCGTGCCTCCCCGCCTCACTGCTCTCTCCCTGTGGCGCCGACATCAGCCCCTACAGTGCTTCTCGGCCCCTGCCCTCCTCGTATACCCCAACCGTTCTCTCTCAGCAGCACCCCGCTCCCACCAGCCTCTCCCCTCGCGCGCCGCCCAGCCCCCTCACCATGGCCTCCATGCGCGCCCTCCGCTCCTCCTCCTCCTTCTTCCTCCTCATGGCCTCCAGGTCCTGCCGGGCCTCCGAGAAGGCCTGCAGGAAGGTGTCAAAAATGCCAAAGAATTCGTCTGGCTGCATCTTGCTGTCGTGCTCCCCAAAGTGCATGAGGGCCTTGGAGAACTGTTCGGGGAGAAGGGGTGGTGGAGAGTCACCCCAGAGCATGGTGGGCCCGACCCACGGGGTTGGCTGGGTTCCAGCCAGAGCAGAGCCCAGTCTGAGGCTGGGGACTTTTGGTATGGAGGGCAGGGCTGAGGAGGGGACCCCATTATCAGCAGTATAGGCACAAGGCTGAAAGAAAGGCTTGAGACCGACACCCCGGAGAGGTGAGGGATCTAAGCTGGCTGACAGAGGCTGCCCAGAGCTACATCAGTCCGTTAGGGTGTAGGTATGGGATCAGGAGCTAGACCTTGGGAAGCACTTCCTAAGGTCAGGAACTGCCTGGTCTGAACTCAAAAGGACCTCAGAGATCATATAGTTATTGGGCCAGTTATTTAACCCCTCTGTGCCTCAGTTTCCTCATCTGTAAAATGGAAATAATAATAGAACTTCTTTGTAGTGGTGTTGTGGGGGTTAAATGGGTTAATAGATGTGTTATATGTGCCAGGCATTGTTCTGACTTTTGTTGAGAGCTGCCACCTCTAATTCAACCCACTCAAAATCCTCTAAGAAAGACCTCACTACTCAAAGGTGAGCTCCACGGACCAGCAGCATGGCATCTCCCAGGAGCTTGTTAGAAATGCTGACTCTCAGGCCCTGCCCCAGACTCCTGAATGACAACCCATTTTTATTTTTGTTTTTTTTTGTTGGTTTTTTTGGGGTTTTTTGAGGAAGATTGGCCCTGTGCTAACATCTGTTGCCAATCTTCCTCTTTTTCTTTTTTCTCCCCAAAGCCCCAGTACCTAGTTGTGTATCACAGTTGTAGAGTTGTAGCTCTTCTATGTGGGATGCCGCCTCAGCATAGCTTGATGAGCGTTGAGTAGATCTGTGCCCAGTATCCGAACCAGCAAACCCCAGGCCACGGAAGCAGAGCACACGAACTTAACCGCTATGCCACTGGGCCGGCCCCTGACAACCCACTTTTTAATAAGACCCCCACAGATGGGGTCCATGTGTGTGTTAGTGCAAGAAGCAGGAAGATGCATGGCAACTGAGACCAAAGCCCACCTCCGGAGTCAGGATTCTAACCCAGCTCTGTCTATCATAGCTGGGCATCCCCAGGCAAGTTACTTAACCTCTCTGGATCCCTGTGCACTCTGGGTTTGTCCCTTCTGGCCCATCTGTGGTAGGGATGGGTGAAGGGGCTGAGTTGGAGAGGAGTGGGGGTGGGATTGGGGCACCCTACCTTGTCCCTGGCCTCACTGAGCTGGTCCTCCAGCTCTGAGAAGCTAAAGCTGGAGACTGTGATGAAGTCACTCATGACGGGGACAAACTTGTCATTCGGTTCCCGCACCTGGCGTTTCTGATATTCCAGCTCCTGGGGAGGGAGAGTGAAGTGCTGGTGAGACAGGTGCCAGGATGAAAGTCAGGCATCCTGGGGTCACCACATCTCCCACCCTTCTTGCCCATCACAGGAGATCGAGCCTTCCTCTGGCAGAGGGAACACCTCAAGTCTCCAAATTCTAAGGGTGGCAAAGACTGAGAGTTGTCAGCCAGTCCACCCTGCCTCTATCCTTCCCTCGGCCACCATGGCCATCTTTCTTTCTCTAGATCCTTGCTACCTAGAATGTGGTCTGGGACCAGCAGCCTCCTCATCATCTGGGAAATATGAAGAAACACAGACTCTCAGGCCCCACTCCAGACCTGCAGAATCAGAATCTGCATTTTAACAAGACCCTCGGGTGATTTGTGTGCAGACTCAAGTGTGAGATGCACTTCTGAATCTCCCAGCTGATGCAGCGCTGCTGGTCCACGGGCCGCGCTTTGGGTGGCACTTCAAAAGGCTACAAATTGAAACGACCCCTGCCCCCCACCATAGTGGCAATGAAAGGTTCTTTCTCATACTTCATTCTCTAAGCCCATTCTCCCCTTACCCGCCTACCTCCCTAAACCCATGAAGATGGGAAGGGTCTCTAGTTCCTGGGTGTGGGGGACAAAGGATTGGAGACATCCCCATACTGGGCCAGCCTAGCCCGGGGCCAGAGATGGCTCCTCAGATGATACTATCAGAGCAGGAATGGTGCTGACCAGAGACCTGGGTCTCCAGCAAAGAATGAAGCCCCTGGGTCCTTTACTGGCCCAAGGAGGAGGTGAAGAGACATAAGACAGGAACTTCTGGGGACAGCGGCCCCCGGTGTCACACTATGTGCTACCTGCCCCTAGCCAGCTTCCAAGGATGTGGATCCTCTCTCAGGTCCACTTGATCAAACTTAAGCATGTGGCCAATTTATGGTTCATTCCACTCCACTGCCCAATAGACATGTTGAACAGTGACTTGGCTGGACTCAGATGTCCCCTCTTCAAGAGCCTCAAGTTAAGCCCTAGATAATCCAATCATCCTTTCCTGAGGGCTGACTCTGTGCCAGAGGCTGCACCCACTGTGCCAGTTGTTCTACCACCCCAGCCAGGAGCTCTGGGTCACAGAAATGCTTCAGACAGGGTCTGCATCTAGGAATCCACCATCTGACCCGGTTACAGGCAGCAGCCAACACAGGCAGCAGGGAAAGCATCCCCCCAAACCCAGGCAGGTGTAGACACAGGTGTACTCACCACCTCAACCGCTCTGAGGCCCCTCCTGAGGTTGCCCACTTCCTTCTCCAGCTCTGCCAGGCTGTGGGAGGACACGGAGGGAGGGAGAGGAGCTGAGGGTGGTTCAGGGAGAGGGCAGTGCCCAGCACAATGGCCTGCGAGTCACTAGACCTGGGCTTCAGCCCTGCTTTGGCCACTAACATGTGGCCCTGGCAAATCACCTCCCCTCCATGCTCTGTCTGTGCTTCTATAAGATAACAGGGGTGCAACTTATGTTCTCTAGATCCCCGCAGATCAGAAATGTCATGCTGTGTCTTAGAAGGCTTCCAACACATGGCCTCTGTCTTGGGTTTATCTATTTTTATCACCACCAGATAATGTTTATAAGCTCTTAACATGGTATCTTGCATGCAGTAAGCATTTGACACAACATTAACCATTTATCACCGCATTTCTACTTCTATTGGAGATGTTTCTATCAGCTTATATCTGTTCAGGTCTGACCTCCTGCCTGTAGCAGATACTGTTGGTGCCCCACACTATCTCCTTAGACCATCCATTGTAGTCACAGCCCTGACTTCCAGCTGTGTGAGTACTTTTTCTGGGGGTCAAAGCCTGTACCCATGGTCAGAAAGTTTTGGCCCCTCAGAACCCCTCAGCCAGTGACTGACAGGAGATGGTATATGATGTCCCAGCTCCCTCGCCCCTTGGGTGGGATAAGCAGAACAAGTGTCCTACACTGTCTCCCAGACTCCCCTGGAGGGATTAAACTCCAATTGCCTATAGTGGTCACTGGCTTAATAACGCTCCTGTTGGGCATTCCTCCCAGCCCTGGCTCACTTCCTCACTCCTGGGGACTATCTACTGTGCTTCCCGGGACCACCTCTGAAATAAGGATTTGAGAGCAAATATGTCTTCGTTTGCTTCTCCCAGAGCTAACCCTGAGACGCTGCCCATTCCTAGTTGGCCCAGAGTAGCCCTGAAGGAGGAAATTTAGACAAAAGTGTGTATCATCACAGGGAGAAGGAAGCCTCGCAGAGACCCCTTACTTCACTTTGGCGGCTTCTGGGAGATGCTGCAGCTCTGAGGGCATGTTCAGGATGTCGGGGAAATGCTTCTCCAGGATCATGATCAGGTAATGGAGCAGAGAGATATTTCTGTAAATGAAAGTCAGGTCAGGGGTAAGGGATTGGGGAATTTGGGGACGAAGGTCAGGAGGAAACTGGGTGAGGTGTTAGGGGAAAGAGGTGACCAGTTTGGGTTGGCGATGGAGGAAAGGTTGAAGGGGGAGGAGGGGAGAGGCCAGAATGGGGTGAGATGGAGGGCTAAGGAAGCAGGCGGGGTCCCACCTGTCAATGCTGGACTTGGTGTCGGCGATCTTGTTGAGGCTGGCCACCCGGAACCCGTAGGCGCCCCCACGCTGCCCCTTGTTCATGAAGTTGCCGATGGCCAGGACAATCTCTAGCATCTGCATTAGACGCCTGCTGCGGATCAGCTCCCGGGAGGCCAGCAGGATGGCTGGGAGAGGAGGGACAAGTCAGAGCCCTGCACAGACTGGGCCAGGGCAGCTGGTCCCTTTGCACCCCAGAATGATCCCACCACAAGGTCCAGAACAGGGGCTGTCAAATGTCATCTACTCTCAGGGGCAGAGATGGTACCCACAACTCCACATCTGCTCCACACCTGCCCACCTCCAGGGGAAGCAGAACAACTCGCCAAAAACCCAATTTGCCCAATAACCCATTCTCAGAATGTGCCAACTCTCTCAAAATCTTTTCTTATATTTAAAGATTAGTAGTCTTTCTATGAATATATGCAAGAATATAATACTTTTACTTTTCTAATCCTAGTGATTAAAAATTTAAATTGCAGCATTTTATAGATTATGGGACTATTCCTGACTCTTTTGAAATGATGAATTTTACTGATTTTTTGGAAAGAAAAAAATCCATCAATCAAATTATAACATGTCATCAATTATATTTCCATATTTTTGTTCTATAAGATAATGGTGTGCTTTATAGTTGATGGTGTCTTCGTTTTGATTAAATAGGTTACTTGACAAACAATTTTTTTGTGTGTGTGTGTGAGGAATATCAGCTCTGAGCTAACATCCATGCCAATCCTCCTCTTTTTTCTGAGGAAGGCTGGCCCTGGGCTAACATCTGTGCCCATCTTCCTCCACTTTATATGGGATGCTGCCACAGCATGGCCTGACAAGCGGTGCATCGGTGCGCGCCCGGGATCCGAACCTGGGCCGCCAACAGCGGAGCCCGTGCACTTAACTGCTACGCCACGGGGCCGGCCCCCTTGAGAAACAATTTATATGATTTTAAAAATTTTCCTAAGCTTTAGGCATTTTAACCATTTCCCCGCAAAGCCTTAACTGACACCTTTGTTAGAAATACAAACTAAGGCTAACAGTAAGCAAAACTTCAGTATTTCATTCTGATGTGGATGCTCCAGCCCTTCCTGAGCTTTTCTGTATTTATGGCGGATGTGCAGAACTGGGATACAAATCCTACACCGAAATTTTGTCTATTAGTTATAGAATATAATTTTTGATTATTAAATTCGGTGATAAAAAGACCAAACCATTCTGGTGATCTTTGGCTTATGCCAAACTGGACATTCTTTAAGATGCTGATATGAAGACACCATGAGAACCATTTGACTCAAAGTTTGCAAAAATCTTCAAAAGTAATTAAAAATTGTAAAAAAGCTGTTAAAAATTATTAACAAGTAAGATTTGTCAGTAGCTTCTAAAGTTGAATATATGCATATTCTGTGACCTAACAGCAGTGTCACTCTTGACGGATATTTGAGTGGTTTCTAGTTTGCTTTTAAAAAAAATTACAAATGGATTGGGTAAATAGATTATAGTATATTCATACGATGGAATAAAATGCTGCACTGAACATGAATAACCATTGCTACATGTAATAATAGGGATGACTTACAACCTCAGTGCTGAGCCGAAGAAACCAGCGTATAATTATTTGTACTATATTATCCATTTATATAAAGTTCAAGACAGACAGAACCTTGAGGGAGGGGGCTATGGTTGGAGGGGGACATGGCGAAAGGCTCTAGGGGTTGGGAACATTCCATATCTTGATCTGGGTGTTGACAGCACAGGTAAATTCACTTTAAGATCTTCCATCTCGTAGGGCTCTTATGATGTCTGAACTTTTCTAGGTGCATATTTCAATAAAAAGTTTACTTTAAAAAACTAGTTATGAAAGTTTCCAGCAATTTATGTTGGCCGGGATAGTTTTTCTAAGGTTGATAAGCTGCTTGAAAAATTTGCAAAGGAATCCTCCAAAAAAAAAAGCTAAAATGTTGGCCAAACAGAAGATGACAAGAGTTCAAAGGAAATCAGTGTATATTGGAAAACTCCCATATGCAATGCAGACATTTTAGATATATTCATAAGAAAAACATATTCATGAATGTACTCATAGGAATATGTTTACATTTGAAACTATATTCCTCTTAACTACATTCAGTGAATGCGTTCATAATGAGAATCGGTAAATTTGGTATATTCAGCAACGAACACATTCATAAGAATATGTTCATGAATATATCCATAGAAGAATTGGTAAATTTGTCAAATTTGATGAATTGGCTTTTGGCAAATTGACCCAGAGGCCCTGTTAGGGGGTGTGGGGTGGGGCGGGTGTCAGCAGCTCACCAACCAGCTGGGATGGGCCATTCAGCTCTTCCAGGAATATTTCCTGGCAGAACTGGAAACAGGAATATGCACCCCAACTCCTGCACAAGCCTCTTGTCTCCACCTCCAGTCAAGCCCATGGACCTGATGCCATAAGATACAACTTCAGCCACCTCTTCCCAATTCTTGGAGGGAAGAGACCTCCAGACCATTCTAGAATAGGAGCCATTGTGACTGTAGGGCAATTATTAATTTCCTCAGCAGGCTTTGCCATCCCAAACACGTCTCACTCTGCTTAGCTTGATATTAAAGGGAGACTCTTCCTGAGCATCCACGAACTCTTAGGGAGAGCTTAGGAGTGGTCTCCTGGGAGCAGGAAGTTATCTGAGATTAAACCTACCCGGTGGCTAAACTACTCCGGTTCCATAGCTCCAAATGGCAATTGCTCACATTTGCTCCACGGACCCAAGACACACACATAGTTGAGCACATGTGTTGGAATGAATCCCTATCTGTGCCTCATGCCCCAAAGGCAGTCAGCAGCAAGACAAAGAAAGTTGTGTGATGGTGAGGATTCACTCATCACCAGGGCAAGAGGTGCCGCCAGACCTTAGACCCGCAGAGTCCCTGCTGATCTCTACCCTTCTCCTTCAGACCGATTTTCTGTGATCACAGCCAGCTTGCAGTCTGTAGTTCCCTTGTTGTGTGCGTGTGTCGGGATCCAGATTACAGAAAATGTTTGCCTCTAGCTCTATCACGCCCCACCCTACTCCCAGAATCCTCCCCAAAGCAGCCCGTCAAACTCCAGGAAGGGCCATTCTCTGGACTGAGCATCCCAGAGAGTGCTGGCCGGCCCTGGTGTCCAGCAGAGGGGGCCCATGCTCTGTTCTGCCCCCAGTCTGTCCCCCAGCATCCTGGACACAGGCTGTCTTGTCCCACTCTGCTGATCCTGTCCTTACCACGTCTCCTGCTTCTCCCCTCCTGGGCCCACATGGCGGCCCACCATCATAACCACCTGCCTTTTCCCCTAGCTCCCTGGCTCCCTGCCCCTCCGTCCTCAGCCATCCCCACAGGAAGTTCCAGGGAGATGCCCTCTGGGAAGTGCTGCAGGACAAGAGAGAAAGGATGGATTCTGAAGAATGACATCTGTGTTCCAATCCCAGGTCTACCACCCATGAGTTAACAGGTCCTTGAGCAGCTATCATATCGCCACTTAGAGATCACAGGATGGTGCACCCATAGGGTTGTGAGGACCAAATAAGACCATCCATGTGGATTGTTCCACACAGTTCTTGGCACGTGGTTCTCATTTAATTACAAAGTTCTTATCTGGAAAAGGCCTGTGTAGGAGGGGTTCCCCAACCCAGAAAATCAGATGCTCAATTTCCCACTTTCTGAAGAGCCCGCACTTAGTGTCCAGAGGTCCTCTATGAGTTTAGTACCTGCCGAGCAGGGTAAAGATGGATGAGCTCACTGCGTGTGGGGCACTGTTCTAGGTGTTTGCTATTATCATCATTTTTTCAGCACTTCTGTCCCATGCTGGGGCAGATGTCAACAGACCCCCCACCTTGGAGAGTTGGCATGCCGAGGTACAGGGAATGTGTTGCATGGCTGGCACATGTGCTAATATAAACAAGCACAATTATCTACAAAAATCAAAGTTTTAAATTTTGTCCTCCACTGTGGTTTTTTGGGCGGATCAAGAAGAAGGAAAGAGTTTTCCTCCACCCCTGCTCATTGACTCCCACCCCCGGGCCTCCCCAGATGCTTCTCCCCTCCAGGCCTCCTCCACACCCTCAGCCGTACCTTCTACTTTGGGCTTGGCCTCAGCTAGCCGCTCCTGGAACTTCTTCTTGAAGAAGAGGGCCTGCAGTCGCTGCTGGTAGTGGTCAATCCTGTGGACAGGGCGAGCTACATCATGAGTTGGCCCCCTCAGCCCCAGCTGCCAGCGCCAGCCTCCTCCTTAGCCTGCTCCCCCCCAGCCCCTCCTGCCATGCCCGCTGCCCAGACCTGCTCATGTCATAGAGGAAGCGGTCAGCACGGGCCATCCGCTCGATCTCATGCTTGTGCTCCTCGAGGAGGTCAATGTCGCTCTTCTCCGGGATGAACTTGAGGAGCTGCAAAGAACAGGTGAAGGTCAAAAGGGAAACTGGTGAGAAGGTGATATGGGGGTGCAGCACATGGAAGCCCATACCCTGACCAGGCTCAAGATGGGGAGGAGTCCCCTTAAAAAAGAGAGGCACCCTCCTGTGGATGGTTTACATGTCATCTGCTCGAAGGAGGTGACAGGGCACCCAGCTCTAGGCTTCTTTAAAAAAAAACAAAAAAATCGAGATATAACTTACATACAGTAAAGTACACTATTCTTAAATGTACAGCTCAGTGATTTTTTTAAACCAACTTTATTGAGCTCTAATCTACATAAAATAAAATGCATCCATTTTAATTGTGCAGTTCAATGAGTTTCAACAAAACTATCCACCCATTGAAGCACCATCCAGATTAAGATACAGGAGATTTCCATCCACCCAGAAAGTTCTCCTGCACTACTTCAATAAGCCAACCCACCCCCTCCCCCCAATATAGCCTCTCAACTGAATTCTACCACCTTAGATTAGATGTGCCTATTCTTGAACTTCATATAAATGGACTCATACTGTGTGTCCTCCTGGTGTCTGGCTTCTTTCACTCAACATAACATCTGAGATTCATTCATGTTGTAAGTATTGGTAGTTCGTTTTTATTCACTGCTGAGTAGTATTCTATTGTAGGAATATACCATGGTCTATTCACTTTCCTATTGATGGACAGTTGGGTTGTTCACAGTTTGGGGGTTTTATAAATACAATTGTTATAAATATTCTCATGTATGTCTTTTAGCCAGCATGTGTACTCATTTCTCCTGAGTGTGTACCCAGGAGCGGGACTGCAGGACAATAGGGTAGGTGCCTGTTTAGCCTTGGTGTGCACTGCCTGCCAAATCATTGTACCAAATGAAAATTCCAGTTGCTTCACGTCCTTGTCAACACTTAGCATTGTCCATCTTCTTAATTTAGCTGTTCTAGTAGGTGTGTGGTGCTACGTCACTGTGATTTACCATATTTCTCTGAGGACTAATAGTATTAAGCATCTTTTACTGTATTTCTCTGATGACTAATAATATGTCCATTTGGAAATTCTCTTTCATGAAGTAATTGTTCAAGTTTTTTGCTCATTTTTAAGTTGAGCTCTTTGTCATTTTCTCACTGATTTGTAGAGTTATTAACTCCGAATATGAGATCTTTGCTAGATACACATAAGGCAGATATCTTCCAAGGTCTGGCTTGTCTTTTCACTCTAGCAATAGTGCCTTTTGATGAGCAGAGTTCTTTTAAAAGTCCAGTTGATGGTCATTTTGTTTGGTGTTATCTAGGTTTCTCTTGAAGGACACAACAAATTGAGGTGGACGAGATTTGGGGAAGATCTGACTATGGGTCACTCTGACATTGCCTTAAGACCTGTGGGGTATCATACCTCATATTTCCTTTCGGGGGCCTCAATCTCCTGGAAAAGATGCCTTTTCTGGCCTCCCCTCAGAAAGGCTGGCACAGGGGAGTTTCTATAAACCTTTCCCCTCGCTCCTCCAGCCCATAGCCTGATTTCTCCTTGAATAGCTGCCCCCCTAGTTTCAGCCCCCCTCCCTGCCCGGGGCCTCACCTGCTCCAGCATGTCCTTGGCGAGGTCCTCCTGCTCATCCATCTTCAAGATGGCCTGCCGGATCTCCTCATTAGAAAGCTTCAACCTATGGCAACAGCCCATCCCTTGAGCAGCCCGGCCTGGCCCTTCTGCTCAGGATAGACCCCAGACCTTCTCCTCCTGAAGACAGAGCCCCAGCCTTCTCTCTCCCTTACGTGAACATTTGACAGTACTCCCTCCTCACCTCCTCTGCAAAGCCTCCTCAGAATACACTAACGTGGTTCACTCCATGATTCCATAATGAGCTATTTTAGTGTCTAAATGGAGACCTGAGTCTTGAGTCTCTGGTCTCTTGCTTGAGTGTCTGTCAGAGCTGATAGGGACATTTGGAAGTAAAAGGGCCATCTTGAGTGTAGACTGAGAGACAGGGCAAAGGATTTCTGATCCTTCTCCTTCTCTTCATGCCTGAGGTATCTACAGCAGCTCCATGGGAGGATGGGAATTTGGGCAGGCCACTCGGGGGGCATTTTCCTGCTTCCTCCATTCTTAGAAGACAGAATAGCTTTCAGTCATCTGACAGCACCTCAGCTCCCACACAGCTGTTCCAGTCCGTCTTGCTGTCTGGGAGAGGGAGAAGCCACCTCCCACACATGCGTGTGTGCACGTGCACACACACAGCCCTTCCCCATCCGCTCCCGATGCACACTCACTGGGAGCCCTGGGGATGCAGAACTCTCCCCACCATCAAAAGGGAGAAACTGAGGCCTGGGGCTTTGTGGCAGGAAAAGGGGGTGGATGTCCCAGAGGTGGCCTAGGCAGTACTAAGAATAGCATGGGAGGTGGTGCCCTTTGACCCTGACTCAGGCCGGAGGCCCGCACAGAAGCTGTGCTGTTAGCACAGATACTGCCCTGTTTGTTCTGCAGCCGTGGGAAATGCTTGGGGGCTGAGATCATGCTGCTCTGTGGCCTAAGCCAAGCGAGGCCCTCCATGGGCTTAGAGCAACTCCACTGCTAGACGCTGACCAGGCTGGTCAGGGCCTGTGATGGGTCATTTCCTGTCTGCAGAGCCCTGCACTGCTGCTCAACATGGGCTCCGGGACAGGGTTCTAGATCAGCCCCTCCCCCCAATTCCCAGGGTACAGCAGAGAGGGAGAGACCAGAGGCTGCTATCTCCCTGTTCCTCTGCCACCTCTCTCCCCCAGGCATTCAAGTAAACCATCGTCCTTGCTCTAGCCCCATCTCTGGTCCCTGCTTCCTGGGGGGCTCATTCCCTCCCACCTATCATGGGGCAGGGGCTGAAGAGGCAGGGCGAGCACATACTTGGAGAGAAGGATGATGCAGTTCTGAGCCCTCCGGCCATCAATGACCGACAGCTCTTTGACCTTGCGGGAGGCCAAGTAGATGTCCTCGGTGGAGCCCAACTCCTTCTGCAACCGACAGGCCAAGTGGAAGGGTGAGGTGTGTGTCTTCCCCAATCCTCTTCTTGCCCACCCCCCAGGAGCCACCCCCTACCAACCAGGGAATGCTCCTGGTGTGAGAGGAAGAAAGAAAGGAAAAGAAAAAGGAACAAGAGAGGAGGGTAGTTAATAACCCACTCTAGTGGGAGGCATCTGGGACTTTCCATGGGCTAGAATGGGTTGGGGGGGGCAATGAGGAACTCCTCTTTTTTTAGAGATTTCCCTCTCTGGGCAAACTAGAGAAGGAGCTATTCCGATGGAGGGGGTGACCGATCCCTGTGGCTTCGGGGAATGTGATATGATCTACCACACCCTCAGAGAATCAACCTCCCCTCCCACCACTCCACTCAGAGAGCCTCCCCAAGCTGATGATCCGAAGCTGGTTTTAAGTCCCCACATGGCCTCAGTTCCCGGACCCCTGGGACTTCAGGCACAACCCAATGGGCCCAGAGTACAGGGCATCCACAAGTTCAGAGGTGGGGAAACCAAGGCAGAATTCCATGTAGAATTCTCTCCTCTGGGGTTCCAGCAGGCAGCTTCCCAAGAAATCAAAGATTCCCCCTGCTTCTCTTGGGCCGCTGGTGAGGTAGACAGGAGGCTAGTCCTTACTCTGGGAGGTCCCACCAAGCACATGCTCTATGTTACACAACTCCAGAGGCCGCCACTCACATCACTGTCTTTGTCAATTGTGCCCAGAAATTGTGCAGTGCCCAGCCTGTGCAGTCTTACAGGATGGCCTTGCCTTGGGCTCAGTGGGTAAGACAATAGATCTAGACTAGACCTTTCTCCTCCTTCCAATATTCACCTCCTTGCTGGCAGGGGTCTGCTTATGTTATCTCCCTCTCCTACCTTTCTTATTTCTCTTTGGGGACCCACCCCCATGCCTCCATGTATGGATGGGTAATAACGTAGAAAGAAGGATGGACAAGCCCTCTCTTTTGGGCCCAGAACAGGGCAGCAGCCCAGGACAGTAGTTAAAAATTGGAGATCCAGAGTCCCAGGAGTGACTCACCTGCTGAGAAGGATTAGTTATCAGCTCCTAGGCAGGCAGCAGCCACAGCCAACAGAGAATTAAACATGCACAATGTTAGCCAAGAGTTTCAGAGACCCAGGAACAGTAGGAGAGACAGGGGGACCCTCAGCATCTACTCTGTCTGCCTCATCCCAATAAGACCCCCATGGCTGGAGACGGAGACCTGGAAGTAGCCCTGACCAGGAGCTGCGTCTAGCAGACATGCGCTCACAGAGAAGCCAAACAAAGCGGAGAGCAGGCAGCATCTCCCACCTGCCCCAGGCCCAGGGGCACCACCACTTCCCAGCTGGGGCAGACCAGGCCCCAGAGCTCCCCCACCCCAGGCCTTGACTGTGTTCTTCCCTCTCCTCTGCTGAGAATCTGCCCCTGGATGAGTTCATCTCTCTATCAGGGGAGGAGACACAAATGAACTTGAGCTGGAAGCACATGAAAGTCGTGTTCACTGAGGCAGAGGAGGGCAAGCGTCCCTGAATTTTGCCCCTCACCCCTTGTCTGTCCTTTGATCTCTAAGGGAGCTGAGGGTGCAGAGCCCACACCTGGTTCTCCCTTCCTGACCCTGATGGAGTTGAAGTCACTAACTCAGGACCTGCAGAGGGCACAGAGGGAAGACCACAGCTCATAGGACCACCCTTGCCCCACGCACCCAGGGACCCAAGACAGGGAGAGGAAGGGACCAAGGCAACATGGCCTCCGGGATCTCTCCAGCTCTGCCACTATGAATTTAGCCCAGAGTCTGGACTACAGTTGAATGACAGTAGTCTGGGTGTGCCCAACCCCCAAACAGGGGACTGGACTGAGTGGGCTCAAAGAGGCGAGAGGTGACAGAATAGTTTCCATCTTAACTCTTCTCCACTCACCAGGCCCAGCTTGTCTTAAACCCCATGGCCCCTCTTTCCCCACTGGCCCTCATCCCAGCCCCACCTCAGAGCCTTGGAGACTAGGTGGGCTGGGCTGGAACCCTGGCCCAGAGGAAGACTCTCAAGCCAGGAGGAGACTTGATTGGCCATGCTGATCCATCCCTTGCACACACTCCATCCATCCCCAGTGCCCAACCCGCAGCACTGATGCACAGGAGCCCCAAGAGCTCAGAACTCCTTCCAGCTCCAGCCAGGCCACAGCTGCCACCCGTGGCCCTGCCAGCCTGACATGGGCGTGGGGCTAAAAACGCTTCCTAGAATTAGGGGTAGAGATTCAGATGGCTTGAGAACCTACTTTTTAAATAAACAACCATCTGGTTTTTCTAGAACTCCAAAACAGGGTTTCTAGGACTCCAAAACATCCGCACCCCACCCCCTTTGGCTAGCCCCCTAGGGATAGTCACATGTGCCCTCAGTCCTGTCTGCTCTCAGGAAGGGTCATCCACAGGTCTGGACTTGGCAGAAAGCAGCAGGGAGCCTGGCCATAACATCCAGCCGCTACCCAGGGCCCAGGAGGGCACAGACCCCCTTCACTGGCTCCTGGGAAAGTTCTCAGGGCTGGGATCCTGGGCTCAGCAGAGAAAACACAGAAAAAAAAATGGCACAACCCGGAGAGGAGACAACCCCTTAGAGGCAGGCCAGAGAGAAAGCGAACATTCTAAGGCTTCTAGGCTAGTAATGCCCAAATTGGACTTGGAGGAAAGGCCCCCAGATGTGTAAGCTACAGGCAGATTCCTGGGCCTCAATTCATCTCCTGACTCATGTTCATTTGAGGATGAGGTCTGAGAATCAGCGTTTGTGGCAATCCCCGTGGTACTGCCTCGGGGATGCCCTATGTCCCGCCATCAACCCCACTCCCCCTACTGCCGCTGGAAGATCAGGCTTACTGGTCAGCCGTCTGTACACAGCGTCTCTAGAGCAAAGCCCAGGGCCTCTCCTGACCTGCCCAGGCCGAGCCCCAGACCTGGTCCCTCAACTTAGGCATTACCCACCTCTGTGTAGGACCCTTGCATTGAACCCCTAATGTGATGTGGGGCAGCGCCACCTTCCTTGAAATATTAACATCTTCTGTTTAACTGACTTGTGGGGCTGTTGGGAGATGGGAGTATGGTGGAGAAAGTGGTTTGAAAAGTTATCATGCCTTCTAGGTACAGTCCCTAAATCCCGGAGCCAAAGAAAGATCAGGGTCAACAGTGGCCAGGCCCTGCGACTCTACCTCCAGTGCTCCAGGACGAAAGAGAGAAATGGAAAAAACACTATTTCATCACTTGATGTGTGAAAACAAACTGTAATCCAATGGGATGTTTCCCCTACTGCACCGCACACCTCTAACTGACATCTATGTCCCCTGCAAGCATGTGGTACCTGACAAAGAATGAAATCATTCAGTATACATCTGAGGGAGGGAGGGAGGGAGGGAGGGGCTGAGGGTTGGGTTCAACAGGTGTATGTGAAGTCAAGACTAGAAGTCAAGACACAAGACACTAGAGGGGGCAGGGTCTTACCTGGTGCCTCTGATAGGCTGAAAACATTTTTTCAAAGTCCTCTAGGTCCAGGATCCGAAACACCTGCATGTCATCAATCTCATTCCATACGGTGCCAGGGACACGTTCCTAAGAGTGAGGGCATGGAGAAGGCCCCATGGTTGACTCAACTCCTTCATTATGGATATGGCCAATGCCTCCTAACCCCACCTGCCCCTCAACTGCACATGTATGACAGCCAGGCTTTCAGGCCTTCAGAAGGGGGTCAGTTCCTCCCCTCAACCTCCCCCCACCAACACTCTGCTCCAGGGTAGAGGCCAGAGACAACCTCTTTCTCCTCCCCTTCGCATGGGACCATATGTAAGCATGTTCCGGAAATCAACGGGACTGCAAGAGTGATGGGTGGGTAAGTACGAAAGGGGGATGCGCTACACTCCTTCCAGAAAAATAAAAACAAAACCAATGTTCTCAGGGCACTCTCCCTAGAGGTCAGGCTTGGCTGGAACCATTAGAAGGAATAGTGCCCACACATACTTGGGATCCTCAAAGCCTCAGGGCTGACTCCATTTCCTGTGTCTGAGATGGTCATTTTTTCTCCCGGGGGTCTTCCTCCCACTGTCCCAGATTCCCAGAAGGTGGACAAATGCCAAAGGCTAGAATATGCTGGACCCTATAGTGACTGCTGAGGCCAGCAAGATTCTGCCACAATTCCCCGTCGGTCAGACCTGGGAAAGGTGTCCCACCCCTTATGATTTGGATGGGCCCAGGGGTTTCTATTCCAAGGTCCCTCAACTTAGGCATCGCCCACCTCTGTGTAGGACCCTTGCATTGAACCCTGACCCCAGAGATCTGCGGAGGAGCTGTTAGCCAAGCCCAGAATCCCCCAGTGGTCTTATAACACCTTGATAATGGCTTAGAGGACAGAGAGCAGGGTCCCCTCCAAGATGCTCCACCCCTCTCCTCCCAGGAATCCTCACCTCATCCAGAGTTTTGCTGTCTTCTAAAATAGAATCTCCCCACCTTCCTCCTCCTGGAGGGCAGCCAGGGAACCTTCCCAATGCCGCCGCCTCCTCCCTCCATCTCCCCCTCAGCAAGGCTTGGAGAGAGAAACATACCTTTCACTCACTTTTATTTTCTTAAACTCTGGAAAGGGGAGGCTAGGCCAGAGCAGGGGGTGGGGACATTCCTGTGGCCTTCCTAAGGCCAGGGACCCTCTTGTGGAATGCCGGGCTGGGAAGCTCGGAGCAGCAAGGGATACAGGCAATTGGCCAAACCCAACACAGACGCATTCTTTTCATGGCAGAAATAACCACTGTGTGTGTGTGTATGTGTATGTGTGTGTGTGTGTACACAGGAGCACACGTGGGGTCGGCGAAGGAGCCTGGGGAGAGGAGCTAGGCTCCTGGAATAGGGTGCGTGGGAGGCAGAGAGGAGACGGTAAGGGGAATTGAATTGGGGAAGGCAAGGAGGGGAAACTTCTAATTCATTCCCCATCTAAAACTAAGCCTGGGGTGGAGGTGGGTGCAGTGGGAATGCCCATAGAGGTAGAGCTTCCCACTGCTCTTCATTCCTGGGGAGGCCAGCACAAGAAGAAAGGGCTGAAATGAGAGAGCTGGATGGTCAGCACCAGGAAGAATTTCCCATGAGACAAGAGGCTGAACATCCAGGCTCTCCCTCACTTCTTCTCACTCTCCTTTCCCCGTACTCGCCAGAAAGACTCGGGTCTCCTCATGGAGGTGTAGCTGAGGTCTGGAGCCAGAGAGAGGTACATCATTCCTAGTACTCTCCACATCCTAAACATCACCAAGTCCTCCTGATGTGCCCTCCTTGTATAATAATTCTCAAATTTGTTACACCTCTCTCTCTGGCCAAGACCTCATCACCTCCAGTCTAGATTCCTGGGGCTTCTGCTTCTAGAGACGACCTTTACATGCCGGGGAAATCTTTCTGAGAAACACTTTTCATTCTGTGTCCTTCAGAGGGCATTTGGGGTCAGACAGACCTAGCCAGCTTACTCTCCCGGCCTCGTCAAGATGTGGGACTGTTGGACAATGTGTGGGGTGCTGTTCTTTTCCCATGTCACATAAAAGGAAACTGAGTCTCAGTGATGCTTACCTGACTGAGCTGAAGTGAGGATTCGGCGAGATAACATACTTTAAAGCACACGTGGCAGTGCCACCAATAATTAATCTGATATTATTAAGGCTCTCTGTGTGTCAGTCACTGTTCCAAGCACTTCATATGTATTAAGTCAATTAATCCTGACAACAATCCTTTATACAGATATCATAGTTACCACCATTTTACAGATCAGAAACCTAAAGCCCAAATGATGAAATGGTTTGCCTCTAGCCACACAATTAAAAGTTTTGGTCTGGGTAACAGGTTCTCAAATATTACCTGATGCCCCTCCACTCCACTCTGCTGAGAAATGTCTGCAACTCCTACAAAAGCTCCCCATTGCATATTCCACCAAATCTATACCTTCCAGTCTAGGAATGAAACTCTGCCCTGCTCTGGGTCCCAGAGGAATTTACATAGATTTTATTATCACTGGACCCCAGAGAAAATCCTAAGCACAATATGATGAAAATGCTGCAAAAATATTAGTTGCTTTGTCTGTCTTCCTTAATTGCTGAGGTGCCTAATCAACTTTTAATTACATTTTTAAAACCTTAAAGATAAGGTATAAGTACAGGAGACTAAAAAATTTCTTTTTTATTACAATAAAAAATATTATTTCTGATCATGAACAATGAACGTTTCCACGTAGCCTATGGCTTTGGTTCTGCAGAGCTCTTTGCTCGTGTGCCGTTGGCCTTTCTGGCTTGCCTTGTGACCATGGAGAAGCATCACAGGGCACAACGGTGCAGTTGTCACAAACTTTAACAATGTAGCTTCAAAGTGCTATTAACAGGTGGCTCTAAAATTTTAATAACTCAGATTGGAGATGTTATCAGAGTATTCATGCTTCATCTTTCTACCTAGATTATGAAACCAGAGGTAGAAGGAATCTTAGAGGTCATCTCACAGATGAGCAAACTGAGACAAAATGAGTGATTTCCGCAGGTCACACAGTTAGTTAGAGCCAAATCTCCTTCAATCCATCCCCAGTATCTCTAGGTGTTTCCTTGAACACACTTCCTGATTTGCCAAATCCAAAGCTTTTACAGGGCAATGTCATGTCTCACCTTTTATTATCATCTGTCACAGCCCCTAGAAAAAGCTTTACACAAAGCAGACCTCAGATTGACGGGCTAGCTGGTCTACCATGAGGAGAAGGCACCTAACGAATAGCTGACCACCTACTTAGGAATCTCGCCTCTCTTACCACTTAAGCCACCATGAGCGAATTCAAGCTCACATAGAATGGTATAGTTATGAAATCCCCAAGAGTTAGTCCACAGGCCTATACGACAAGATCAGAGGGATCCTTTAGTCCCAGCTTCAAACTGTTGTTGAAGTTTGAGTATGGGTCGGGCTAACTGAACTCAGTTACCTTGTATGTGTTTACCTCAAGAACAAAGCCACTGGTCCTCTTAATAGGACATAGTACAGAATAAGAGGCAGGGCTTGACCCAGGCTGGACCTGGCCTTCAGTTACTGGGGGTCCAATGTGACCCAGAGCATCTCTACTCTATGTTCACGAAAGTCCAATAGAGGAATCAATTCCCACCCATGGACCTGGGATTGGTGATTATCAGTGGATAATATTCATGAGGGCCTCTCACTGCTGAGAAGTCTAGAAAAGTAGTCAATGTGTGCACTTTCCCCCTGGGAGGATGCCAAAATGGCTACATCTTGACCTCAAACTCTTCATTGTAAGGGTGCCTCAGCACCCTCGCCTTGTTAACCCTGTCACGGCCTCTTTGTTTCAATCCTTTGTACACATTGCCCTGATCTTGACCATCTCTAGACCTTAGCCCAAGACCTCTACCCACATCTTCCACCCTTTCCCTCAAATCAACTCTATCCTTAAAATTCTAGCCAAGCCCTTGTCTTAGCTAGAAAGCATTCCTGCTTGGCCCATGCCCATATCTCTATTACTCCATTAACCCTCAGAACACACATATCCATTTGTACATGGCTTTGCCAATGCAAGCACCACCACATGCCAAGCCATCTCCTCCCAGTGTAGATGCTCTTTCCAGGGGACAGTGAGCTGCCCGTCATCAGCAACCCCATCTTCGGCAACCACTGTGTCTACCCTACCCCCACCAAAGAAAGAACCCCAGGTGGAGATCTGCAGACAATGGGCAGTCAATCCACGGGGCCAGCTGCCACAGGCTGTAGGAGAATGGATCCACCGACCTCCTCCTTGTCACTCACCTCATTCAGCTTGACCCAGTTGAAGGACTTCAGTGGGTGGGAAGGCTGGGGGACACACTTCTTCCTGAGTGGGATATCACTGCTGGGGAAGGGGTCTGGAGGGAGAGGCAGGCCCATGCTGAAGCAAGGTGGGGCACCAGGGGGAGTGGGAGGCCCCCCAGGTGGAAGGGGTGGTGGTGGCGGTGGGGGGCAGCAGGCAAATGGTAGAGGGGGTGGGGGTGGAGGCAGGTCGTTGGTTGTCATCGAGGAAGACAAGGTAAGCGGGCCCCCAGGGGGAGGTGGGGAAGATACAGGTCCTGTCTGTGGGAGACCAGAAAATCAAAATAACAGAGCCATCAGCAATGATGCCTGTCAGCGCCCCCACTCCCGACTCCTTACCCTATTCTCCACTACATTAGACCCCAAATCTTGCTCTCGCCTCCCACACACAGTTAGCCCCTCATTTTCTCTCTCTGTATTATAAACATCCAACACAGACACGTAAGTCAAACACCCATACACAGACACTGGACAAAGTCATCGTCATCACAAGAGCTGCAAGAGTAGGATTGGTACACACAGTCATGTAGGCTACTGCCTGCACAAGGGCATCCAGCAGAGAGGGGCAGGGGAGCCAAAATCCCACCTGTGCTCTGCTTCCAAGGTGTGTTTCCCAGGACAGTGTCACTCAGAGGAAGGAGCATTATTTTTTCTAATTAACACAAACAGCCTTAGGGGTCCCCCTTATCCTGCCCCGAGATCCCCTCTCTCTTCTCCCTCATCCAGGGGTCCTCGACGCCTCCCCACACCTGCTCTTTCGACCCTATCCTGAAGGTCTCAGCTCAACTATGTCAAAGGAGAGGAGGATGGCCACGTACTGAGATTTCACTGAGTTGGGCGACCAGCTCTGCCACTTGTCCCCGAGCCTGGCGCAGCTCCTGGGACTCGCGGGCCAGCTTGTCCTTCATCTTGTTCAGCGTCCGCATCATCTCTTCCTTCTCCAATGTCTTTGTCTCACATTCTCGCTCTTTCCTCTCCAGCCTGCTCACCAGTTCTGTATGTTCTGGAATAGGGGTGGGACAGGAGAGGGAATGAGAAAAGAGAATGTGAATGTGTGTGTCCTTCTCCAAAGGAAGGGATGGGTCATTGGCTGGGCAGGGGAGGCGGTGTGCGGAGCGTGCAGCAGGTTCAGGCAGAACCCCTCACCTTTCCGGAACTTCTCTGCCTGGTCTCGCCACTGTTTCACTTCATTCTCATTGATGAGCCTGGTGGGGAGCAGAAGGAAGGGGCAATGTGACAGTTGACAGCTGGCTCACAGCCTCCCAGAAGACATGTCATCTTCTTATTCCCCACATTGGTGCCCATATCTCCAATTCATCCAGCCACATTGAGGCTAAGATTTTAACTCTCCAGGTCCCCATCCCTGCCCAGCTCTCATTATATATCTCTCATGGACGGCGAGAGCTTGAAAGGATCCTTAGATACCTTGTAATCCAACTCCTTGTAACACAGTTGAAGCTCCTGAGACCAGAGATGGAGACAACAGCTAACTAATGGTAGAACTAGGACTAAACCTCAGACTTCCTATAGTTGCATAATGACTTGTACCCCTTTGTAAAAATAGATTTTCGCCCCCAAGAGAGATCAAAATATTGGCCCAACCATGGTCCAGTCTTCCAAAGACTGATGTGTAAGAGCAAGAGATATCACCCACCGCATCAACACAGAATGAGTGTGTTGAGGCTGAAAAGGGATATGTCTAAACTATACTAGTGGTTACTAGTGGAAAGGTGGGTAGAAGGGGTTAGAAGAGAAACAGAACAGAGAAAAGAAGCCAACCATCTCTCACACACACACACACACACACACACACCCTTCCCACTGCACCGCCCCAGCCCCAGCCCCAGCCCAGGGAGGAGAGAGATTTAGGTTACATCAAATCTAGGATGATCATTCACATCTGGGACTAGCACTTCTAGTAGCAGGTCTGGGACTACGTGGGCAGTTGAAAGCAATCTTAGGACATCCATTGCCCAAGAAGCAGCAACTTCACTGCACCTGAGGAGTTTTCATCCGGAAAAGAGGAAAAGCTTCTGCACTAAATAGTGTAAATAATTAGCAGAAAATAAAATACAGCTGCATTTTGATTACTTTACTAGTTGTACTTGTCCAACTAGGATTTTAACTACATCAACACCCAACTACTTGTGCAAATGAAAATAGTAGCCTGACTAGTTCAACAATCATTTTCTGCTTGGCTTTGGAATGCAATAGAATGAATCAGTGAGAGCCAATTTACCTCCTTTAGGGCAACTGGCTCAGACTCACACTGAAAGTTAAGTAAAAGTTTAAAATTAAAAATCAGTGTGTTAATATAAGGTCTGATTATTAATTGACTTGAAATATAGTTCTCTGTGTTTCTCTATACCCGGGGTCAGTCAAAGATGATAAGCCAGGCGAGCAGACTCTGACCCCCTGTCCAACAGCCTCATGGTTAGGCAGCCATGCTCTGTGTCACGGCCGGCAAACTTTCTGTAAAGGGCCAGAACAAACATTTCAGGTTTTACATGCTATGTACAGTCTCTGTCGCATATTCTCGTGTTTGTGTGTTTTTAACAACTCTTTTAAAGTGTGAAAACTGTTCTTATCTCATGGTCCATACAAAAACAAGCTGGAGGACTGGAGTTAGCCCACAGGCCATAGCTTGCTGATCCCTCCTCTGCGATAATGTGTTTAAATTCCTTCTCTATCCACTCTGTGCAGTGGATCCTTCAGAGTTGAATACACCCACTAGAAACCTGTGCTGTCCAATATGGTAGTCACTAGCCATATGTCATGTGGATAACTGAATTTAACTAAAGTGAAATAAATTTAAAATTCAGTTCCTCAGTCACACTAGCCAACGTCAAGTGCTCAGTAGCCACCTTTGGACAGGGCAGACATGGAACAGGTCTGTGATCTCACCGAGTTCTATTGGGCATTGCTGCTCAGACCTATTTGGAGTGTCTGGTTTGAGAGAGGGAGCTGAGGTTTCCCTGGTGAGGCCCCGAGTAGGAAAGAGACAAGGCGGGAGGAGGAAGACAGGTGAGGGCTGGCCACTGCTCACATGTTGACAATGTTCTTGACGTTGAAGTTCTCCAAGGGAGCCAGGTCAGGGTCCACACCCCTCTCATCCTGGAGGACAATCTGCTGGAGGATGCGGTCCAGGAGCTGCCACTGCTGGAAGTAGCCACCATTCCGCTTGTCTGAGGGACAACAGGTTATCACATCGTTACTGGGCCCTGGAACCCCTGGGGCCCCATCCTAGAGTCACTGTCTGGGCCCAGGCTGGTAAGGCACACCCTTCCTCCCCTTGGCAAGCTCCCAGTCTGATGGGACAGGCAACGCAGTGGCTGATCACAGAGACTCACAAATCCAGTTATTTCTTGATTATCTGCAACTGACTTTCTATGAATGTGTCAACTCTTTTGACATATTTCTCTACTCCCTGGAATGCTTTCTGGCTGCCTTTCTTCCCTGTTGGTACCCAGAGCATCCTATGCCTTGGGAATGCAAATTGCTTTTTACATTATCTAAAAAAAGCACCTTTAAGAAAGTAAATCTGCTCCAAAATATTACATGCTGAATAACGACATCTCCAGGGAAATTTTGAAAAAACAAAAGGTTTTAGGATTATCTATGCTATTGTTCTACAGAGAAAGATGAATGGAAACTAATTACAGGTATGCACTGAGAGGGAATCGAATGAGTTGGCGAAGTGTAATGGAATCCAGGCAGATTTCTTGGTGAAGGTGACCCTGAACTATGAAGGCAAAGGCTGTGTTGTGCCTGGTCTCACAAGGTCCCCCTCACATCCCCTCTAATCATAGTCTGGCTGGACATGGACTTTCTTTTCCTGTGACAGCCACAAGCTCCTCTTCCTTGGTTCTTGATCTCAAGCACTTCGTCTCTATTGACCACCAAGAGAGGTCAGCCAGTACAATCGATCCTGACCTCAAAGTCAAACCATCACGCCTACAAGGCAGAAGGTCATGTCTGCAAAGCCTGGCTGCAAAGAGCAGGGGCCCAAGTCCTGCGGCCTGGCCTCCCGGGGGCGTGTGCAGAGGGAGACTTGGTCACACTCACCAACCCAGGGAGGTCCCCACGCCTTGTCTCAACCTGCCCCGGGCCAGGGCTCAGGCCGGCTGAGGGAAGCGGCGAGTGTGGGCTACTCACAGGGCATCTGCAGGCAGTGGTGCAGGACAGACAGCAGGCAGGGGTAGGCCTCCGTGTGCTTCAGTTTCTTGTGGATCAGCTCAAACATCTGGGAAGCACTCTTGGTGTCAATGTGGACCTGGGGGAGCGGAGAGCGCAGTGAATACGGAGGGAGGAAGCAGCGGAGGAGAACAGGGGAGAGAAGACCCTGTTTCCATCCACTAAGCCCCGGCCCCTAGGAGAGCGTTCCTTCCCTTGCCTCTGGCCCAGGCTTAAAGAGAGAGAGAAGAGGAGGAGGGAGACGTGCTAATTCTATAAACCAGAGTTTCCCATACTTGGCTCTACCGGCATCTTGGACTGGATAATTCTTTGTGGTGGGGGGCTGTCCTATTCCCTGCAGGGTTTTTAGCAGCATCCCTGGCCTCCACCTATCAGATGCCAGTGGCGTCTTCCCCACACCTGTGACAACTAAAAATGTCTCCAGACATTGCAGATGTCACCAGGGGCAGGGGGCGCAAAATCACCCCTGGTTGAGAACCTCTGATCCAAATGAAGGGAAGGAGGCAGGGGAATAGATGATTCAAGGAGCGTGTGGCATAGGTCCACAACCTGGGTTCAAATCCCAGGTCTATGTCGAGTTGTGTGACAACAGGCAAGCTCCTTATCCTGACTGGCGTCAGCTTCCTTATCGATAAATCCAGGGCTTTTGTGAGCGTGGAATGGGATGGTGTTTGGTGACGGAAGCACTGCCCCAAAGTAGGTTTCGATTTGGATAGGGATTCTATAATACAAGATTTAAGCAGCAGAGTTGTGTATTTTCAGGATTACTAAGACTAAAATAAAAATATGAATTTGTTTGCTAAGCATGATCCAGTTAGTGATGGAGAGAGGTGACTCAGGAATCTGCTAGAAGACAGGGGGAAAGTAGCCCAGGAGAGGCACGTGAGACTAATGATGTACAAGAACTGGCTCTCTTTCCTTTGGGGGTTGCAGTCTCCTAGGGGTAGATGCCCTACCAGGTGAGGCCCACCAGGTGAGGCTCATCAGAGCCAACATACTACCAGGGGTCCAAAGCAGGACGTGGCCATGGGGGCACCTACCAGGGAACCCAGCCAGCACTGGACCTACCCCAGCAGAGGATCAGGCGAAGTGGCCACCTGGGACCCCACTGCAGTCCCCCCAGCCCTGCGGCTCCTCACCATGTCAAACCTCCTGGCTAGCTCCAGGTCATCCTCATTCCGGACCATCTCGAAGAAGTCTAAATGCCTAGATAGGATGGGGTATAGACAGTACAGACATTACAGCCAGGACATCCCTGGTTGAGGGTTACAGCCCCTTCAAGCCCCCCACTGACTAAATCTGAAAGCTACATTCAGTATTCCTGGCTCCCAACAACCAATACCAGTAGTGCCCCCTACCAGCCAGTGTGAAAACAAAGAACACCCCTACATGTTTCCAAATGCCCCCTAGGGGGCAGTACTGCCATGGTTGAGGACTACTGGGCCCACCTGTCTTTAATATCAGAGATAAGATGGCAGGTCAGCAAAGAGGACAGGCAGGGGCATAGGTAAGACGTGGGACAAGAGGGTGGGAGAGCTGTCCACCTCCCCCCACAGCTGATCCTGAATCGATGCTGGGTATGGCAGGTGGTCTCCAGTGGGAAGGACAGCCTCCACGAAGGTCCTGACAATCCTCAAGCGAGGCAGAGGTTTGCAGTGGGGACGGGTGGCTTGGGCCTTACTTGTCCAGGATGGCATTCTCGTGCTGCCGGAGTTTGTCAATCACAGGCTGTATCCCTAGCATCAGGAACTCGTACCGTAGATGTAGGCGGAACTCCAGATTATCCTGGGGGTCACCAAGGGAGGACCACACTCATTGGCTGGTCTCGATTTCCACAAGAGTCCGCAGTGGACCCCTCATTGCCACTCCAGTCATTGTCCCACCACACCTCCTGCAGCAAACTCATCTGGAGCTGCTTCAAGCCCCACAGTTCCAAGAATGAGCGAGAGGAGACATCCTTTGACCTTGTTATTTACTCCTTTTGGGTCTTCTGCCTGACTTCCTTTAAGTCCCTTACTGGTTTTGGGATCAAAGAGTAGTGGTGTAGAGCGATATAGAACACAAGCTTTGGAATCAGACAGATCTTGGTTCAAATCCTTGCTCTGCCACTTACGAGTTTTGTGACTTTGGGAAAGCCTTAGTTTTCTCATCTGTAAAATGCGCATGGTCTGACTTACCTGCAGGACTGATATTCATAAAAATTACCTGATGAGGTATGGCTACCAACTAATCAGAACAGATGTCAGCCATAAATGGCTAGTCTGACAAAGGCGTTGTCAGCATCTTAGGGACAGATTATTCCCACAATCCAGCTCACCTAACTCAAGGTCATCAAGACTGGATGCAAAAAAAAAAAAAAAATAGAATGCTGGCAGAAAAGAAGGAAAAGTGGAGATCATTAGATTGCCCCTTTTGTTCTTCAACCAGCTGACCTTGACCGGGACAACTGATTGTCTTAGAATTTGGGGAGTTCACCTGCTCTTGAAGTTCTTCAATCATTGCTATTTTTATGCTCTGAGAATCCCATTTGCACCCCAAAGGAATGGAAATCAGAAGCCACACCTCCTAACAGAAGGTGCTAGCAGAGCATGACCAGCCAACCCAGAAACCACTCCAGAAGCAGGTCTTTAGAAAGTTCTAGAAAGAAGGGCCAACACTTGCCCTCCTCCCATATATGACCTCCCACCACCCTGAGCCATCATCAGCCAGCAAGCTCGGGGTTTGTCCACAACACACATAATGCATGTCACCACCTACGTAAGAAACTCCCTAGGAGCCCTCCCAGATTTAGACAAAATCCAGAAGAATTTTGTGGAGAAGCGGAGCCAGCATTAGCCCTCACCACAACTTTGAAGAGCCACAGATAAGATATATGTGGGTTACATGTAACACTGCTCTGGCTGACGTGGTGTTGCCCTCGTGACAGTGAGGTTCATAACAAGCTAGTCTTTCTTGGCCCCAAGTAAAGGAGGCAAGAAGTGATAAAGATCATCTGAAGATGATAGCGGTGGCAGCCACACCAACCAGATGCCCTGGCCCCTTCCCTTTGCCTCTTCCCCAGGACGTATTCATATACTCTACCCCAAGTCTAGAAAGTCAGAGCACAGCAAGGGCAAGTGGGGGTGCCTCACCTCCCCAGCTCCGGCGTTGAGGACCGCGTTGATAAAGGACATGATGGCCGTTTTCAGGTTCACTTCATCCCGGTATCGGCCCAGACTTCGGTCTAGCTCATTCAGCAGTGTCTGGAAGGAAAGCCAGGACAGATATGGAGAGGAGGGCTCAGGATCCAAGTCCAGCTCTTGCGCCTCTGCTCCTGCCATTCCAAACACCCAGAATGCCCCATCCATTCTCTCTACCCAATCTCTCCAGCTTATCATGGACCTCCTCTAAAACTCACCCTTTCCAGTCTCAGTCCTGCCTTATTTCCTCCCCACTCAGCCCTCCGAGTTGGTTTATACTGTGGGAAGTGCTGCTCAGCTCTTCACAGCTGTTTACAGCTCATACATATCCCTGCCCAGCTCCTTGACACATGTTCACTGCCTTGTATCCCTTTGCATCTCCTGCAAAGGGTCAGGGGCCACTTTCTGCACAGAGTAGATACTTAAAAGTGTTTGATGACAGCACAAACAAATAACCTATACTGGTGGACAAACCACAGAGTTTGCAATGACAGCCCACATCTATTGAGACTTACTCTGTACCAAGACACCTTATACTTATTGTCTATCTCAGTACTTCTCTGGGGCAGGTCAAGGATAAGAAACAAGATTAGCAAGGCCTGAGCTCCCAGGACTTGTCTTAGTGTCCACACAGTAGGCACTGGACCAGGCATAGAGTCTAAAACCTTGATCCCAGCAATTGCATTCAATTCAATGATTCTTGACTGAGCCCCTATGAGCTAGGCGCTGGGCTCAGATATGTAGAGCCACGAAAATGAAGCAGAGCAATATGCCAGCCTCAAAGAACCCACGTTCTAGTGAGGAGTCTGTCTTCCCAGCCAAACTTATGTCTTAAGGACCCTCAAGTCATTTTAGATAAACCCTCTGGCTCCCAGTATTCTCTGCCTATTACCTTCCAGGAGAGGGCATGCAACCTGCATAACCTCCCCTTCCCCCCTAGTTTCTGCTACAAAGAATCTTCAGTCCTTCACCCCCAGGATATGAGGCTCCTGCCCCATCCCCAGCTGGTGCCCCACCCTCCGCAGGCTCCTCACCTGGAAGCGCGTCCTCTCGGCCGCATACACCTGGTAGTGTAGCATGGCCTGCAGCACCTTCTTGTGGCCGCCAGGCACGAGGCACACGGCGCCCAGGATCTCCAGCACGGCCACCTTGGTCTTGCTGTTTTCAGTTCGCAGGCTCTGCGCGATGGTGCTGATGGCCTCAGGCTGTGCCAGCACGTGCGCCCGCCCCTGGGAGTTGTTCATCAGAGCCTTGATGCAGCCGATGAGGGAGGTGTGGATGCGGCTCTCACAGGTGGCGTGGTCCATGCTCCGGAGGAAATTCAGCAGACAGGTCAAGCCCTCCAGCTCAATGAAGCGAGTCACAAACCTACCCAGACCAGAGGATTAGCAAAACGTATCCTGCATTTGTGTATTATACATTCTGCAAACAGTTACCCCATTACCTGCGTACCACCTTGCCTCATCTACAGTATCCACTTGGTTCATCTATAAAGTTTAAAGCACTGAAATCCTAACACCCTCACAGGAAACTTGCATCTTATTTGCATTTTAAATACCATCATTTTCATGTTATTGACTGTCAGTTGCATAGCTATGATGGTGTGTCTGTGAAGGAGATGATCATGATAATTATTACAGCTGTTAAACCTGAAGACTCATCCCCAGTGAGGATATAATTAAGAGAATTACAGTCAGTAGACAAGGAGGACTTCCAGACGGGGGTGCCGTCAGAGTCACTTAGTCAAGGGACCAAGGCTGGGGATGGTACTCTTTAAGGGATACTTAAGAAAACAACTTATCTTGAATGTTAGCAGAAAACATTAAAAACCATTTAGTTCATGGGTTCTTAACCTGGAGCCTGAGTTCCCCTAAAGGTCTATGGCTAATATTTAGGGATCCATGAAAAGAAAATTACACTTTTATTTTTGGTAACCTCTAACTGACATTTAGCATTTCCTTCAATGATAAATGTAGGCAATAAGTGACAGTGGTATGAGCAGAATCTGTGACTTTGTCACCCAAAGAAATCCCAGCTATTTTCATATCACATTACAGTTGTTGCAGGTATATCAAAATATCATTTACACTCATTAGCACTTCAAAATGATGGCGGTTGCTAGTTCTTGCTATTTAAGGCATAAAGAAGCACATTTATTGCTACCTCACAAATTTTTAATATTTGGTAACTGTATTTCAATGTAATTGCTTTATTTTAGGTAGGTCATAAAAATAGATAGGTTATAAATCCTACCTATTTTTATCTATTTTATTTTATTATTTAAAAACATCACTCTGATAAGCAGTCAATAGGTTTGATCTGGGAGCCAAAGCCATCCATGGCGTGTGCGCACTCACATAGTCTTAGAATAATTCATGATCTGAGGTAATGTCATAAATGGAGCTCAGAGAACCACTACATATAATTAATGCAGTTGATCCCAGCTGTATTTGTGTGTATTTCTATACCATTATACAAATATGACTAGAAAAATATACTCTCAAGTTGTTAAAAATAGTTATTATTTACTTTTTTCTATTATATGCTTTTCTGTATTCCACAAAATCTCCACCATGACCATGTGTAACTTTTGTGATCAGAATTTTGTTAAGGGAAAGAAAAATAAATTGAGGTGGGAGACAAACCTCCCCTCAACCCTGTACTTCCTGACTTCCTCATCCTTCCTGCTTCCCTTTCCTATACCAGACCTCCACCCACACCCTGAGTGACAAAGTGGGATTCGAGTGCTCTCATTCTCCTTGATGCTCTATTTCCAGGCTCCTGGGGCAGAGAGCTCAGCCCAAACAACACACACACACACACATACACACACACACATATGCAGGCAGACCAGTGTGTGCTGGTAAATGTTATAACAACCGGTTCCCTGGAGAAAGAAAAAAAAGGTTTTATTTTGTTGTTTGCCAATTTCCATGGTATAAATACTCCCAGCAAAGCCAATTTCAAGCTATCAATGTGACATCATTGAACGTGGAGTTGCAAACAGATACACCATTTATAGTATTTCCACCATGCGTATACAACAGGTGTAAACTCAAGAGCATACATAATAGTGAAGAGCATATATAAAGGTAAGATGCAGTAAAATCATTAGGTAATTAGGGAGTGATAAGTTTCAAGTATTTATTACCTTTGTTTTTGATATAATTTATTTAATCATAAGTTTATATAATTTACATTTTAATCATAACTCTGTTTAACAACCAACTTGCCAAACTGCCAAAAATTTAACAGTTGGCCCTTACAAGCTGGTTCCCAGACACAAGAAGAGCCTGTGGCTCTTGTTCCCTCTTTGGACCTTTGCACAGCGTGGCCTGGGAAGGGGGGAGGGGTTCTTCTAGGACCTTTGAGACATCTCCCCCTTCTTCTTGGCTGCATTGATCCCACTCTAGATGGGGAAATCTCATCCAAAGACACCACACCTCCCCCTAGCGGTTGGAGTATTTCTCACCCACCGTCCCCTCCTCCTGGCTGGGGCACCCACCAGCCCCTCATTCTTCGAAAGCTCTTCTTATATACCTTGTCTGTTTGGCCATCCTCCCTCCTGTTCTATCCTCCCAAGAAAAACAAGTACCTGCCCTCAATTTCTCTTCAGATAGCTCTTCAGGACCTGTGGTTTATTCCATTTTCCTGTGTTCATCTCTCCTCCTCCTACATGCCCACTGCTTGCAGCCTCCCAGCTCCTCAGAGAGAGGGGGTAGGAGCTGGAAGTGAAGTGAACTCCAGGGAATGTTGGGGAGTGGTGTTGGCCATGGGGACGAGATGGGAGCAGCGCACTGTGTGAAGCTTCAGGAAGTGGAGAGGAACCAACGGTGGGAAGGGACATGGAAGGAAGTGAGGAAGAGGAAATAGTGAATCACCTCATGGGCTGCGTCCGAAGAGCTGTCTTCAGGTCTTCTACGATTTGGTTCCGCATCTCCGTCTCCTCCTCGTCAAATGCGTACAGACTCTGCATCTGAGGTAGGTAGAAGTGGGTGGAGGTCAGGCTGGATGGCCTGTCTCCCAGCCCCCTACACCCCCAGCCCAGGTGTGACCCAGGAGCCACCCCTGCCTCAGGAAGGGTGAGGCCTCAGGGGATGGTTAACTAAGACAGAGTGTCAGACTCTGAGAATACCCAGGTTCTGGTCCCAGACTTCATTTTCCTCATCTATAAAATGGGAGAATTATTGACCCAGCCTAATTCCCAAGCCTGTGTGATATACAAATGATTAATAAATATTTAAATGGTTGGGGGACTCTAAATCCACACCGAGGAGGGAGGGATTACAAAAAAATCTCAAGAGTAACTGCAAAGCTGCTGAGCCCCGGGGAGCGGGATGTGCGGTGCAGGAGACGATGAGGGAGGATCACTCTCCCCACCGCCTTTCCAGGTGGGGGCAGGGCAGGAGAGGAGCGCTGCTCACCGCAGCCATGGAGTTGATGCGGTCAATGTAATAGTCAGGCCAGCTGGTCGCCAGCTTGTTGGGGTCCTCCTGCTCCTGGAACAAGAAGAAAGACTGTATGGACCAACGGGCAAGACAGACCCATGGCCTGAGATCCTGAGCTTCATTCCTTGTGAGCAGAGAGATTCACTTCCCAGCCCCGCCTGGACGGGGTGACTTCCAGGAGGTTACAAAATCCCCTCAGGCTTCCCTTTCTTCCTCGGTAAAATGCAGACAACGAACATTGACTCTCATGACCAGCCAATGACCTGCTCAGAGACCATGCAGCTATATACACTTTCAATGAACAATATGTACAATTAAAAATATATTTTTCTCTGTTATATTTGTTCTGACTCTAATAAAATATAATTTTATATCTGTTGAATCTAATAAAAATTTGTGCTTATATTTCATACATGTTTTTTCAAATTTTATTTTTCTGATAATATTCTCATTGTATTTTACAAAAATATTGGCCTGTGATGGTTGGGAAATTTAAAAACTTACTCTTTCTTTCAGAGAGTTTGAGAAGCACTGATATAAAGCATTTGGTGCAATGCCTGGCACAAGTAGGTGCTCAATAAAGAGTAACTTTACAAAAAGAGGGAAATAGAAACTCCCAAGACCCTGGGTTTTGGAAAGACTTAGGAGCCCCTCACAAGGGTCTGTGCAGCTCGATGGCCCAGCCCTCAGGTCTCAAGAGAAAGCCTCAACCCCTCCCCAAGTATGGACAAGAATGATGGGAATTGGATAAATATTAATGCTGATTGGAAATCCAGCCCTCTCCTCCGGCCAGTGGATCTGCTTCTGGGCATCACATACAACCTGCCCGTTCCTGTCCCTGTCCCATTGGCTTGTGCCTCTTCATCTGCTTTCTGCCCATCTCCAGCTTCCAAATCGGCATGAAAACTTACCTCCTCCAGAACCTCCCTAACCAACCGGCTGTCTGCCAGCTGGCCTGGACTCTGCCCTGCATCTCTCAGCTCCATCCACTCGGGCTTCACGATTTTGTTTCATAAAATTCAAATTTGAGACCAGTGGGAAGGCTGCCTTGATTTGGTCTTTGTGACTTCACGTGACTGTATGTGTTACATCTCCATGACTGAAGCCCCCAAATTCTATCTTCTACCTTGGGTGGGGGGGTGATCACAGCACCAAAGACAAATGCAGCAGCCAACACATCCTTTCCTGCCTTCACTGGCTCATCACTTATCCAGTCCACATGCATTTAATGAGAACCTACTCAATGCCAGTCACTGTACTGAGCCCTGAAAGCACAGAGCACAGAGTCCGAGTCTCTGCCTCCAACAAATAGTCTAGTGCCAGAGGCAGGGTGATAAATGCTCTGTGGCAGAACTATCCATAGTGAGCCATGGAAACCGGGGAAGGTGGGGATCTAACACAGAAAGCTTGTGAGGGGGGTGGGGCCAGCGTCTGAAAGGACCGGGATGAGTTATTAAAGATTAGTAAAGCCAAGACAGGTGGGAGGGTGTCACAGAGAGAAGTACCATATGAGAAGGGAGGGGGGTGTGAAAGTGTAGGGCAAATTACACACATTTTGTTTTTGGAAATCAGAGACGTCCTTGCATTTTAATAACTTTTTTATTTTAGCTGTATAAGAGATCAACTTAAGGGAACTCCATAGTAAATCAATTTGGAAAGTGGAGAATCATGAGATATGAGTAATTACTCCTGAAATTTATTTTCTCCTTCTTCCCCTCCTCTCTTTCATAACTTGAGCTTTTTAAAGACCTGCTTTTCTCATAGTGAGATTCCTGGACACCAAGCATAGTATTCTGTGGGTACTTAATAAATGTGCATTGAGTCTACTAGACAATGGCTTGTAGTGTATGCAGTCCAGGCATCTCATCACAGGTTCTCAGACTCCAGCAGGCCGGGGTTCTAGCAACTGTGCAGCCATTCGCAGTAACTGGTGGTGACTGGGTGAATCCATTGCCTCTCTAGGTTGTCCTTGCCTCATATGTAGAATACAGGACTAGGCTGAGTTCTTTCTCAGCTCCTTCCAACTCTAGAATGTGTATGATTCTAATCCTCCAATTTTATAAGGTTGGTCTGGTTCAGTATGGAGCACTGGATGGGACAAATATCCTGGGCGAGAAGAGTAAGAAAAGAGCCCTGAATGGGCTTCAGGGAGCATGAAGGAGAATCCACTCAGCACCGCCCCAGACCTGCCTGTCTTCTCCCAGGAGGGAGAGGCCTGAGCCCCAGGCGCAGGAATAACTGGGTTCCACCTCTCAAACACCTGTCTCTGAGGTCAAAGGAACAAGCTGCAAGTCTGAAAAATGGGAGAGTGGAGGGGAGAGGAGGAAGGTGGGCAGAGAAAAGAAAAATAGAATGAAAGCAACAGGCTAAAATAGAAACGGAGCAAGAGAGGCACAGAAAGCCATGAGCAAAAGAGACACAGAGATGAAGAAAGACGGAGGAAGAGAGAAGAAAGCACAGCCTCTGGGAAAGCAGAGGGGAGGAGAGAAAATCCAATTAAGCCCTGAGTGGAGCTTGGTACATCCTTTCTAGGGAGGACCACAGTCAGGAGGCTGACGACATCTTTTAATGAATGAGAGGAGGAGAGGCAGGAAAGGATGGGGAGAACGGGGACTGACAGGTGACCCTGATGTGCATGCTGCCCTCTAAGACCGAGCCTGGGACATGGCGGGGGCTAAACATCCAGAAGACACCACCCCTCCCAACTCCTAAACTGAGTCCTTACAACAGAGCTGCCCCAGGAATGGCTCAGGGCAGCACACCCTCCAGGCATGGGCACAGGCGCAAGAAGCGAGTCTAGACTTGTCATCTGTGTATCTCCCTGACCCAGCACCACTCCTAGAACCCAGGGGGTACCTGCTTAAAGGGTTTTTGAAAAACAGAATCCCATTTCCCCAAATGTAAGCTGCATGAGAGCAGGGATTTTTTTTTCCTGATTTTTTCACTGTTGTTCCTCCAAACCTAGAACAGTGCTGGTGTATAATAAATATCTGTTGAATGAATGAGCGAGCATGGAGGCAAGAGCTGCCCCGTGCCGTGGACCCTGAGACGGCAGTGGGAGGGGTCAGAGAGGGCACCTTCTTCTTGCTGCAGTAGATCTGCCATTTCTTCTCAGGGGGCAGTGCAAACACAGCCTCCCGGTTTTTGTCGGTGAGATCCAATTCATCCTGCAAAGACAACAAGAAATATGTCTGAAACCCAGAGATGGTTGACATTAGGATCTTCAGCCCTACAGGAAATTATAATTCCCCCAAACCTATCTCCCAGCCTACTATCTTCCTCCAAAGAGCATCAAAGATACCACAGGGCAATTCTTTTTCTGCTAGAAATACACCCTCAGCCCCCTGCTTCTACCCAAGCCTGCACTGCTTCTACCCTGCTTTCCTTACTTCCCGTTCAGCCCAGCTTGGCTCTGCAAATCTACCCACCTCCTCCAGGTCCCCTGTTCCCTGCACATCTCCTGCATTGCTCTGCTTAGCCCTAATCCTCTTGCCTGTGGTTTCTTGTCTTCCATCCCTTGTCCTTCTTCAGCTTGTCAACACCATAAGTCAAGGCCCAACAAAGAAAGGAGTCAGTCTACAGACCCAGTCCTCGCCCCCATCCTTCAAGTCTCCCTGCCCTTTGAGTCTCTCCACTAGAAATTCTTTGGCTGCCCAACCTCAGTATGAATCCCAGCACAGGCTAGGGGGAGCTGGTGAAGAGGAGGACCTGAGCAACTCTCCTGGCAAGAAGGGCATGCCATACTAAAGGAGGTACGGATCTGCTTCCCATGGAAGTGTGCCTGCATGCACACGACTCGGGGCTCTACCAGGCTAGCCCACACTTCCCAAGGAGTAGAACTGGGCAGTTTCTGATGTCATCAAAATTAGGGTATCTCTATAGGTAGTTTGGGGTGACTTTATAGGTTTGGCTGTGCTGGATGGCCCCTAAAAATCTCTCTTCTTGAAGCTTCTTCTCTTGATTCATGAGTGATGCTCAGGCTCAATAAGAAAATAGTTATTGGGCCGTGGGGAACATAGTGCTTTCAACTCAATTACTGTGAGGGTTTTTGTTGTTGTTGTTGTTGTTGAGGAAGAGTCTCCCTGAGCTAACATCTGTGCCAGTCTTCCTCTATTTTGTATGTGGGTCACCACCACACCATGGCTGCCAACGAGCAGTGTAGGTCTGCGCCTGGGAACTGAACCCCGGTCACCAAAGCAGAGCGCACCGAACTTAACCACTAGCCCATGGGTTCGGCCCCTGTGAGGGGTTTTTTAATCAAAAGCAGAACTCACATTAGGATAATAACGCATAATATTACTAACCTTTTTATTTTTAAAAATGATAAACAGTGAAAGTAATATCTAAGAAAGTATAAGGGTCTTAAATACCAATATTTATACTCTTGTCCCTATACTTTTATTCAAGGGAGAACGTTAAAGACTTTCCTTCGCCTAGATCAGAACTGTCCAATAGAAATATAATGTGAGCCACATGCATTTGAAGAATTTTCCAGTCACATTAAAAAATTAAGAAATAGGTGAAATTAATTTTAACACTACATTTTATTTAATCCGAAAAATCTAAAATATGATCATTTCAACATGTAATCCATGTAAAAAATTATCAGTGAGATATTTTACATCAAATCTGATGTGTATTTTACCCTCACAGCTCATCTCTGTTCAGACCAGCCAATTTCAAGTGTCTGGCATCCCCATGTGACCCGTGGCCGCCATCTTGGCCAGCACACACAAAGATAGTTGGAAACAATGTCCATTAGTTCACCTGCTTTTAGAAATAAAGACTTCTCCAGATCTGATGTTAATCAAAGGTTTCCCCAGAACCACCCTCTACATAGCCCAGGAATATCCTCAATCAAAATTCCCAGAGCCCTGCTTGAGGTTCCTGCAGTATTTCTTTTTCCACAGTCAAGATTCAGAAGCAAAAGAAAAAGTAGAGCTATGTGCACCTTACATTTCCCAGCACAAACTCTGCATCTCTTCTGCTTTGCTTACACGGTTAGTTCCACCTGGACTGCCCTCTCACCCACCCCGTGGACCCTGGTCTAATGCCCAAGCTCAAAGTCAGCCTCCTCCAGCAAGCCTTCCATAGAAAAGGTGTTGTTCCCAGGGAAGAACACCTCTCCCTTCCTGAACTCCAGAGCAGTGACATTCAACCTTGTATTCTAGATATTTATGCACTGTCTTGTCTCACCAGTGGCCTCTGTCACTAAATCAATGGACATTTCGTGGTGATTTTTCTCAGCCCAGGTTGCCTATTACTCTGCTGACCATTCACTCCTTACTGAATCTCTCTTCTCTGGTTTCTTTGACAACCACACCCTTGGGCAGAGCGTGGTCCCTCTGTGTTCCTCTTGGGCTCCATTGATGACCTCTCCTCTTCTCTCCCACCATTAAATATTGAAGCCCCTCAGGGCACCATCCTGGGTCCTTTTCCCTCCTCCCTGTGCTTCCCTGGGTGAAGCCTTCTTAGCCATTCCCAAGGACTCAGATATTACCCCAAACTCTTGCAAACCTGTACTTCCAGCCCACCAGTTTTCTGAGCTCTAGACCCTGGGACCCAACTGCCTCCTGTACCTACTTACTTTGATGTCCCTCAGGTACCTCACATACTTATGTAGTGCTACTATGTGCCAGGCACCGTTCTAAGTGCTTAATGTTTACTAATTTATTTAAAACTTACAACAACCCATTTTACAGATGAGGAAACCGATGCACAGAGAGAATATGCAAATTGAGTTCATCACCCAAGCCCCCTTAACCTGAGTCTCCTCTGGCATATCCTGCCCTGTACAGGGGCTCAACATCCACCCAGTTCCTCAGGTCTGAAACCTGAGTGTTCCTTGATTCCTACTCACTCACCGACCCTGCCAAGTCCTAATATTTTTCCTCCTAAATAGCTCTTGAATCTTTCCACTTCTCTCCATCCTCACTGCTAACACTTCAGTCCAACCCACCACTCTCCCTAGCTTGGATTGCACCAATAGCCTCCTACTGGTCTAGCCAGAATCCTTCTTTAACAGAGTACCCTGAATGGTCTTTCAGAAAAGCAGACTGGATCACCTCGAACCCCTGCATAAAGCTGTGAGTGGCTTTCTATCTCCCTTAGGATTGAATCCAAAATCCTTATTCTTGTCTTCATGGTGTCCTCCAAAAGGACCTGGCTCTTTCCTGACTTGAAACTCTCACATATGCTTCTTCTGCATGGGACCCTCTGTCACGGTTCTGCACCCCCATTCACTTATCTAATCATCACTCTACTTTCAGATCTCAGTGGCAATGTCACCAGTTCAGGGAGGCCATCGTGACCTCCAGTCTAGAATAAAGCTCCCTGCTAGACACTCCCACAGCCCCTGAACGTTCCCTTTCCAAACACTCCCCACATTTGCCATTACTGTTTAAGATCAGTCTTCCTATTAGACTTCATGTTCTTGGAGGCAGGGACCATGCCTGTTGGTTCCTCCCTAAATCCTTGGGACCCCCGTAGGGGTCCAGCACAGAGCAATCTCTCAAGAAATATTTTTCATTTGTTTGATCAATACCTGATGCTAGTCTCCTTGCAGACAAGACTTGTCTGACTCATCCTTGCTTTTGCCAAAGTACCTTGCAAGGAGCCCTGCCCACTGAAGATGCTCAATAAATACTTGTTCAATAAAAGGGCCAAAGAAAGAATACCTCTCGCCATATCCTTCTCTCAAAACTCATGCTGTGATCAAGAAAACATCCCTGACTGTGATAATGTAAGAAATACATTTTTGATCTTTGTTCTCAGTTCCTAGCATAGAGCTCCTAAATCCCTTGGAATTTCATGAGTGATAGAAGTGGTAGGAACATCTTTTATTCCTGACACAGAGCTTCTAAACCCCTTGGAATTTCCTGGGTGATAGAAGCCTCTTTATTTTAGTGAGGCAACTCTTGGTGGGGCCCTCAATAGCTTCCAGATGGAGTCTGGTCACCAGAAAGATCAAGCCCTGATTAGAAGCCTAGAACTTGCAGCCCCATTTCCCAAACTCCAGGGAGAGAAGAGGAGCTGGAGATGGAGTTAAAAATCTGTCCTGTCTACATGATGGAACCTCCATAAATGCCCCTAAATGGCAAAGCTCAGAGAGCTTCCGGGTTGGAGAACACATTCACATGCTGAGAGGGTGGTGCACCCCAAACTCCACAGCGACAAAAGCTCCTGCACTCGGGACCATCTGCACCTTACTCTATGTACCCCCTCATCTAGCTGTTCATTTGTATTCATTATAATACCCTTTCTAATAAACTGGTAATAGTAAGTAAAGTGTTTCCCTAGTTCTGTGAGCCATTCTAGTAAATTATCGAACCTGAGGAGGGGACCATGGGAACCCCTGATTTGTAGGCAAGTCAGACAGAAGTGTGGATAACCTAGGGACCTACTACTTGTGATTGGTGTCTAAAGTGGAGGGCAGTCTTGTGGGTCTTAGCCCTTAACCTATGGGGTCTGCACTAACTCTGGGTAGTTCATGTTAGAATTGAGTTAAATTGTAGGACATCCAGTTGGTGACCTCAGAGAACCGGAGAATTGACACCACATATTTGGTGTCAGCAGCATTCTAAGTAAAAATCAGATCTTAGTAGTATTGGTTAACACCCATCAGGATCAAAACATTATTCTATACTAGGAAACACTTTGTTCTCTCCCACCCTGTGCCTTGTCCTGAGGAAAGGTATAAATCAGGACAACAATGAGTTTTCCTGAACCTGATGTCATGAGGAAGGAAGGTGGACAACTTTTTCACATAACCTGCGTGGTCTCATCTTATAGTGGCCTTGTTATTTAAGGGCTAGACCACCTTAGTCAGATACATCCATTATCGAATAAGTATGAAACCCCATTTCAAATCACACAGCATTGTTTCTCTACTGGTTTGACTACTGGCCAACCACAAGAATGAGTGACCAAGAGCTAATGGTATATGGACTTGTGCTCATCACTCTAGGCCAGGGTTCAGGCCTGAGTCCTGGGCATGGGTCCTGCATCCCTGATCTGAACTTTCCTTGGCTTTGTCTCACCATCGGACCTCCAAAGAGAGGAATCATGCTTCTTTCCCGTCCTGCCTCTTTGTGATACAGGGGTTCTCACAAAGGCGTACAGCTGCTCTGGTCTGGACGGGTGGATGGGCACCACAAAGAGTAAGGAAGAGCTGCTACCTTAGTGTGAATGACACACCCCAGGGTAGACACGGGATATAATCATCCCGGACCCAGGTTCCCAGTGTGTTCCAGGTGTGATATAGGCATCTCTACCTCCATATTTCTAGCCAATCCTTCTCTGTTCTGAGGTACCTGGTGTCTGCCTACGGAATCCCACTCTGTCCCTTCTTCCTGTATCTGAGATAAAAGGATCCCAGGGAAATTCCAGTGAGTAGAAGAGAAAGGTGTCAAGTGTTCTGATGTTCTTTGAGTTTCCTCACTGCCTTATTTCACAAAAGCCTGGTCCTGCTCCTTTCGTGGTGACTTAACTGCTGCCCCATGAGGTCTAGAATCCAGTGGAGATATGAGGAAGCAGGTCCATTCTTCTGGGGACAGATTTCATGGTGTCCACCCCAGTGAGTGATTCTATTTCTCCCACACGGCTGACATATCCTTGGGGGCCCACCCCAGCCCCAAGCTGAGACCCCAGCACGTGGGCCCCTACCCTCTGTCCTGCTCTGCCTGCTCCAGCCACGTGCCTCATCATTGTCAACGCCCTCCCTTCCCTGCCCCCTCACTCACCACCAGCTCTGCGAAGCGGACATTAAGCTCCTCTGGGTTTGGGATAGGACTGGAGAACTCCATGTACTGCAGAGGGTGGCTGTCCCGGAGGTTGATCTCGGGGAGGTCGCTGCCCCCAAAGCAGCACAGGAAACCCAGGCCATGGCGGCTCCTCTTGCGGGGGGCCATGGTCACTGCAGGCCAGAGGGACAGTCAGTAGGCAGATGCCCTAGGTCCTCATCGTGAACTGGGCAGGAGAACAGAGAGCACAGAGTGGTCAGGCATGGCAGCCAGGTGGGCAGGAGCAGTGGTCACTCTGCCACCATAACTTCTTTGCCCAACTGCCAGGAGCCCTCAACTCAATAGCCAAGGCCCCCTCCCTTTGCCCACAACTTCTCCCTGTTCCCTCCAGCACCTTCCATCTGGAGCCATTTACATGTCCTCCGTACCATGTGCTCCCCGTGTTTCCTGCCACAAACACTTTCAGATTTTCCCTCCCTGCCCCAGAGAAGAGAGGAAGGCTATAGACACAGAATGCGACTTCCAGGAGGTCAGAGCTGGCACTCGTCTTATCCTCTCCATGACTGTGCAGATGGGAATCCTATTCCCTGTCCTCTGGCCATTTCCAGCAGCGCTCACACACTCACTTGATTCCTTTTAGGGTATGTGGATGCCTGGTTTAAAGGTTTCATCCAAAGAGGAGGGAAGGGTTGAAGTAAGCTGGCAGGAGAGACACAGAGCTAATTATATGGCATGGCTCCTAGAGCAGGGGCCTCCAGGGGAGTAGAAGATGGAAGGCTTGCACAGTTTTCTGCCCCATCTGTTGTGCCCAGGCATGTCTGGATGGATGGGAAATATCAACAGGGCACAGGTTCACCCATCCATCTAGAAGGAAGGGTGACCCGGAGAAGTCATTAGAGTGAACCCTGGTTAAGGAAATGGGGCTGATCATTGGAATGGTGCTCAACCAATATTGAAGGAAATCTGGTCAACCCTCCTTTCCATATCAACCAAGAACAGAGGGTACTACTCTGGCCAGAGACCAGAAATGACAGACACCCAACAGTTGGGTGGTCAGTGGAGCAGAAAAGGTTAAGTCTTTGGCTTGCCGCTGGGAGAGCATCATTCAATGGTGTCCAGCTTGAGGAGGAACACTGGCCCTAGGTATTGATGCCACACAGCTTCTAGATAGATTAAGCCCAACTATCTGCACATAGGCTTCCCCAAAGCGTAAAACCATCCTTGACCACTGGTTCCTAAACAGGCTTTCAGATACTCTGGGTGGGTTCACTAGAGAGATCATAGCTTACCCACCACACTGCTGCCCAGCCATATTCTCCTCATCCTTTATATATCTTAAACTTTCAGACATAAATAAGATTCTGCCTTTATCTCTGTTGAATATTATATCACAAGTTTGGGGTCAAGATTTTTTTTTAATTGGTAAATATACATAACATAAAATATACCATTTTAACCATTTTTATGTGTACAGTTCAGTGGCTTTATCACATTGTTGTGCAACCATCACAACCATCTATCTCCAGAACTTTTTTCATCTTGCAAAACAGAAACTCTGTACTCATTAAGCAATAATTCCCCATTCCCTCCTCTCCCCAGCCCCTGGCAACCACCATTCTACTTTCTGTCTCTGTGAATTTGACTACTCTAAGTATTTCATAAGAATAGAATCATACAGTATTTGTTCTTTTGTGACTAGCTTATTTCACTTGGCATAATGCCCTCAAGATTCAAACATGACACAGTATGTATCAGAATTTCCTTTCTTTTTAAGGCTGAAAAATATTCCATTGCATGTATATACCACATTTGGTTTATCCATTCATCTTTTGACGAACACTTGGTCGTTCGTCAACTTGGGTTGCCTCCTCCTTTTGGCTATTATGAATAATGGTGCTATGAACATGGATGTACAAATATCTGTTTCTGTCCCTGCTTTCAATTCTTTTGTGTATATACCCAGAGGGGGTCAACATTTTTTTGTTGTTGTTGCTGGGAAAGATTTGCTCTGAGCTAACATCTGTTGCCAATCTTCCTCTTTTTTTTTTCCCTCCCCAAAGCCCCAGTCCATAGTTGTATATTCTAGTTGTAAATCCTTCTAGTTCCTCCACGTGAGCCGCTGCCACAGCATGGCTACTGACAGACAAGTGGTGGTTCTGTGCCTGGGAATTGAACCCTGGCCACAGAAGTGGAGTGCAGTGAACCTTAACCGCTAGGCCATCAGGGCTGGCTTCAAGATATTTTTGAGTCTTGATTCTTAGCTGTTTCTCCTAGATTTGGGTCATTAACAGAATGGTCAGAATGTCGCCATGGTCTTTACCCACATCATTGCTCAAAATGTTGACCACAACAAGGATGTAGACAGACCAGATGACATAGCTATCTCTTCTGGGAATGCCAAAGAACTGGTCATCAACACTCTCAGGGGACAGTCCTTCAATCAGCTCTGACTCCATGAACCCACGCTCTTATCTTGCCCTCTTTTCTATAAAGACACTACACAAGACTTTTCCTAAAGCCTTGGGGAACTTGAGATATGCCAAATCTAAGGAATTCCCTTGAACCAAACTCTAGAACCTTATCAAAAAAGATAATTGTGGCATAACTTGTTCCTAGTGAACCCAACGTAACTTCTGGAGAATACTGCTTTATTTCCTAAACCCTAATAATCCAGCTAATAACAGTGTGATCTGATCTGGCCTCTCATATAAGTCATGATGCATTTTAATTGTCATTCTAGCGTTTTCACTGGCTCCATTTTATCTTTCTTCATAAACTTTGTGACAGATTTTTTAACAGACCCAGGAGAGCCTCAAATACACAATCTGAGGTTGCCTTGTGTTATGGGTTATCTTTTCTGTGTTTACATATTAGCTCTCTACAGCAATACTGAAGGCTTCTTGAAGGCAGGGGCCATGCCTCCTGCTTCTTTGACAGTCCCCCCATTTCTAAGATTAGTAAAATGCCTTGTACCTAGTGGGTGCTCAATAAATATTTCTTGGTCAATTGGGAAATGACCTGAACTCATAGAAAAGGAGGAAGAGAAATATGGACTGAGATCTCTGACTCCTAGCAGCTGACACACAATCAGAAACCTTTGTAGGGAACAACAAGGGGACAGTCCTGAGGCTGGGGGCAGGAGAAGTAGCCAGTGGGCTAATGCAGTAATCCTGATACATGGTGGTGAAGACCTGAAATAGGCTGGTGGCTCAGGAAAACAAGAGGAAGGGAGGCTTTGGGGTCTTCTATGGGACACGACAGCCAGTGGCCAACAGTGGGTGAAACAAAGCCCTGGTCTCCAATTGTGAGGCCTAGTAAAGCACTAATTCTGCAGGCAGGTAGGGGTGGACTATCCTGCGGGGTCCCCTTCCCATTGTCAAGTTTGGGATGATGATGTAAAATATAGACCAAGTCCCTTTTATTTCATCAGCCTCCAAAATGCAGCTGCAGCTGGTGGGCAAGACTGCCTTGTTCAGGGCATAAAGCATGGGAAGGAGACTCTCAGAGGCCTTGTTCAGGGCATAAAGCATGGGAAGGAGACTCCCAGAGGCCACGGTGAGGCTGGTGGACTGCATGATGGGGCTGGAGTGGGGGACGGTCAACGTCTGGGAGGACCTGTGAACTCTCTTCTTGCCTTCACCTCTTCAATTTCTTCTTGCTCCCCAATCTCCTTCCTTGTCCATCTTTGCCCTTCAGCTCCTGAGCCAGGCTTTACAGGGAGAATCGGGGTAGGGGCAGGGCTGGCCTACAGCTGGCACCCCCTGCTAGTCTTACACCAGCCGTGTGCAGCCCTGACTGCTCTGATTGGTCCGTGCCATGCCATACCTGTCACTAAATATCTTTAATGTCTCTCTCCCCTGAGTATGAGGAGTGAGGTGCAGTGGCCTCGGGAGGAGGGATGAAGGAGACACAGGCCTTCCAAACGGGAAGTGCCGTCCCCACAGAGAAGGGCCTGAGCCCCGGGGGAGCGCTGCATATTTGCCCTTTTAAGGGGAGGCCTGTTTGACAGCTCCCCAGCGTGTTTATGTTTCTGAGGACACCCTCCTCCCCATGACCCCCTCTTAGGTCTGTTAGGGCCTCATCTGAACATCCAAGACTAAAACCACAGGCTCTCAGCTGGGAATCTTCTAGCTTCATGGTAGAGATCAGAAAACTGAGGTGCAAAGAGGAAACGTCTTATCTGAGACCACACAGCTAGGGACAGAGCTGGGACTGAAACCCAGGTCTCTGCAGCATTCAGAATGTGGTCTGGTCACTACCCCACCAAGCTCATCTTCCCATGTCAATGGCCCTTTTTGCCATCTTGCTCCAGCCCTCCACTAGCCTCCCTCCACCAGAGAAGACCATTCTCTACAGCTTAGTTTAGAAATAGCTCCAGTCTCAGGGGTCCCCCCTAGACCAGGTGATGGAGATCCCAAAGGCCCCCTGCTTCTCCTCCATCAGGAGGAGCTGCTTCCACCTCTCACCACCCCGATTTCTCACCCAGCCCTGCTGTGACCCCTTCACCCCAGCAGAGTCTTCCAAGTCAGACGGACTGGGATTTGACTCGGGGCTTTGCCTTCCCAGCTGGGGGACCCTCAGCATGTTGCATGAGGTCTTAACCTCTCAGAGCCCCAGGTTCCTCATCTGTGAGACCAAGACAATAACAGCACCTTCCTTCGTGGGTTTCCGTGAAGAGTGAATGAAGTAACGTAAGAAGCCTGGAGCACATTGGGCACTCACTAAAGGCAGCCAGCACTGCTGCCGGCCCTTCGTTATCATGATCACCAACAAGGGGAGACCTGCCCTGTCCAGAGCCTGCAACCACGAGCCCTGCTCCAGGCACAGATGGGGCCACCAAGCCTGGCATTGTAGGGACTTGCTCAGCCCCAAAGCTGGGAAGAAGCTGCCCAACTTTGTCGTCAGTAACTGGGAAGTCTGGACCAGAGGAGCTGTGCTTCTCCTCGGACTCGGAGCCATCTCTGGTTGGAAGGGTGAACCCTCGACACTGACCCTGAGCAGGAAGTGGGAAGGGTGGAGGTGAACAGAGTGATCCATTTCTGAAAATCCCTTTGGAAAGAGGAGCAACAGAGGTTCCCACCTCAGAGGAGACTTCAGAAGCGATATGGAAGAACGGGAAGCATCAGCAGAGCAAAACCCAGTGACTTGAACTTGGGCCAAAGGGATATAACCTGCCCCCCGCCGCCCCCGCCACACACACATACCTTTCTCTCTATGGAAACTGCC